TTTTATATTATTAAAAGTACCTCTCGCAATGCATCTGAGCTACAGCCCTCTATTATAAATGGTGGAGGCGCGGACTCTATTATAGTACCTATCGAAAGCAGATAAGCCAACTTTTGAGGTTTTTTTTTATAAAAAAGTTATTATGATTCCTCTAAAGAAGACTACATTCATTGGGAATTAATGCTTTCCGTATCAGTCGTGCCTATGGGACCAATAAACAACCCGAAACGTTGGTTTGTTTGAATAAATATACACGGTGTTAGATTCGTAAAAAATACTTTCATTGCCAATAATCTAGTCTTCTTTAAAGAAAAAATGGGATGGATGAACAACATACAATTGTTGTGCAGACCCCACCTAGCGTGGGATAAGGACAGGAAGAAGAACAACAAATTCGCAAAAAAAATATAGATTTTCTAGTACGAGTAAATCTCAAGAATCGAATTATAGACAAATCAATCTTAAATCAATTAATTCTTGGTTAAAATTTGTCATAGAAGTGAAAACGAGAGGAGAGGCTACGCCGCAAGCGAAACTAACCTACGTTAGCTTACCCCACATAGCTGCATGCAGCAGGCGATGCGAGCTAAGCCAACTGTGCTTAGTTTTTCTTTTTTTTTTTTCAAAGTATTCGGGGAGCATAATATAGTAAATAAATATGGCTGTTTACAAAAATAACAGAAAATGAAAAAAAAAATTGCCGTAGTGTTCATTGGAGGTATCGTAGTGACTGAGTACTCGACGCTAGTCTTTCCCCGCACGGGGGTGAAAGGCGACAGAGTCTACTCAGCTTACTGGGATCGCTGGGTAGTTAACCCACATAGTTGAGTCAGCTCGGTTGGCTTAGATAGCGATGTTAACAGATGTATAAAAACTGCCGCGACCACGTGAGACAAGCTAATTTAGCTTAGCTTCACTCGCGGTGTGACCTTTCCTTGATGACCCAAAAGAAACAAATAATAGAAATCCGCCATACTAACCCACTGATGACTTTCTTTGCAGATAATGAAGGCAGCGTACTCATATTATGCAGTACTTAGTCAAAAACAAATGAATTAGCAACTTCTTTATTACCTTCTTTTGTAGCTAGAGCAGTTATTTCTGTCTTTTATTTTATTGCGCTTAGTCCATGTCATACATTGAAAAGTGGTGTAAGGCTTCAGGCAACAATGCGATACATCACAGCATCGCTTGAATATTATGCACATCAAGTAAATGGCTTGACCTGGTGTCTTTGAAATGTCTGAACCCTTATAATGACTAACTTTACAATATAACTAACAAAATGTTTACAATGACTGATTGGCGCACGTAGATTCTACAATCTAAGCTATCACAGTTGTTCTGGTGTATAAAATTACAAAAGTATTCAATAAATAGCCCTAATTATACGCTAGATTCTTATTTTTACCCCTTGTTTATTATAAATTAGCTATTTTAAAGCGAGACTTTGCTACCACAATAACGAATGAATAATGTAGAGTCCAGAATAATGTTAATTTACTAAGTACTTATAGTTAACTACGATAATTCATAGTTCCAACAGAGGAGGTTTCGGTGTGACCGAACGAGATCTTTCAGGCGTCTTTACACCGATAACAGTCATTTCTTCGCATCTGAAACAATTCAAAAGAAACACACATTGATCAATGAAAAGGAAAAGCATTAAAATGTTTCTTAATATTTAACCGACTTAAAAAGGAAGAAGTTCTCAATTTGTATGCATCTTTTATTGTTTGATTTCAATTTCCATGTTTGTAATGCTGAAACTAGCACTTAATCAATAATTTAAAGTAGGAATAATTTTATTACGAAATTGAGAATGTCGGTAAAAGAAAAAAATTGGATTTTTTTTATAATATCAAGTGACAGAACGAACAAGTCGTACGTCTGACGGTAGCTATACGCCTGACCATAACAGTTGCACTGCCACCCTCGGGAGAAAGATTTAAGGGGCACTGCCACTCCGCCCGTCACCCTGAGACATAAGTTGACAAGTCCTATGTGTCTGTGTCACCAGTGATTGGAGAAATCGGATGAGTGATTGGAAAATCCACTGATGGTACCTCAGTAATAGTTCGCAATTAAATTTGAAGAAAATAATCCATCTTTAAAATTAGCAAATTAATGTATGAATGCGATATATTGCATTTCGCCCACTTTTCGTTATCCGATTTTAATAAAACATGGCAGAGATGTAAAACCAATAAAAATAAAATAGTTATGGTGAAGGAACTCCTCAACATTGCGCAGCAACTACCTTGCGGTCGGGCTCGTATGATTCGTTTAGACAAGAACTTCCGGAAGCCTTTTAAATACACAAAGAGATTTGATTTAAAATAATTTCAGTTTCAACAAATACGTTAGCAATATAGTCAAGGCAGCATACCGTTGCCAACTGGATGTATTCTTTATAGGATATAAGACTTATTTTACTTTTAATACAAACTATTAAAAGTAAAATTAGCCTTTCCAAAATATCGTCCAACGTCCTTCATCACAAACAAAAGACGTAATAAACAGATGTAAACATAACTCTAAACAATGAAGCAAATCTTATCAATTGGCTCGATTGATAGATAAATAGAGTCTAAACCTTTAATTATAGTTTTATTTTTGTACGCCGTTCGCTCGCTATAACAATAAATGACAAATTTTTGGTCAAACGCTCAATGGATATAACTAGTATGTAGACAAAGTCAAAGTTAAATAATCTCTATTTCATAGGTAGGCAAATTACATTTGAAATCGTCATACTGATAAAACTCTACTACTCATTCGTAAGGCAGATCCCCTGAGAAGAATGAGCAAGAAACTCCAAGGGTTGCTCTTTGTGAATATACATGTGAATACATTTATCACTACAATATTTAATTTAAACATCTTAGATCGAGACTACATGCTAAAAGGTTACTACCACGGATTTTTGTCATCCAAGTACGCAGAAGCTGTATAATAACCTTAAGTATAACATTTTTTCTTTCACTATAGTTTTAAGCTTCGTAAATGGCAAATTTTGAACATCAATCGGAATCTTAATAATAAGAAGCGTACACATTGCCCCTTAGATAAATTTGAGATTTTATTTTTATTTTTTTCCATCCTCTAAAGATTTTATGAAGACGACTGTCAAGAACAGCTACTTTATTTTTATTCCTCGTATTAATGTTATGTCTGTCACTATTTTTCATGAAAAAATAATGTTGTTCTTGAGGTTAATGTAATAATGTTAATCTCTTTAAACTTATCTCTTTCATAAATTTAAAGTATCATTGGACGTTATAAATGATTGATATAAAAAACTTTCAATTTAATAAATATTCTTAGGATATTTATTATAGAACCAAATATAGAACCAGGAGCTGGAGAACATCTTGAAATTTTGTTATACTATACTACTTGTTAATTTATATCCCATAAGCGATTATATCCTTTGAAATACCCTTTATACCAAGGAATGAAAATAAATTATTTGTTGTTATGTCGATCATTACACACCCTTATATTCAAGAGCAGTGTGACTGATAAAAAGCCTTGTACCTGAAATTTTTCCATGTAGAGCAATATTGGCCTTGCGGAAACTGTATAATCACCTACAAATATCAAATTTCTGTACGGATCCAGTACCCATGAAGTGCCACTAAATATTCGCCGAAAATTTTTTTGATATATAGCTAAAATCTAAATATCATAAACGGTAATGTTGATTGCCCCGACCCATTGGGTGATATTCCGTTTAATGTACCTACGCATTCTACGAGACAGTATCACTCTGTTACAGTTCCCCTTAACGAGAACTAATTATAGACAAAATAGTTGTTTTTGTAGAGCTAGCAAGAGTTTGGATAGTCTACTGGCAAATCATCATGATCTGGATATTGAAATATTCAATTATAATGTTGATGCGCAAGGTGTAAACTCACAAAGTTTTTATTTAATTTTATTGAGTAATTCGTAACTGTAGGCGCAGGTATTCGGTTATTATTTTTATGTAAGTGCGTGATGTTAACACTTACTGTTTATTATTCATTTTGTTCAATACTTGTGTTTGATTTGTCTGAAAAATAGATGGAAGCCTGGTATTTGAAGCTGTTGACTTTCCATGAACAAGTAAACAAATTGGTTATAAATGCTTCATGCAAGTATTTCTTCAGATTCTAACTAAAGAAACCACTTTAGGACTATAATCTTTCAGTCGAAAATCAACAACTACCATCTACCGAAGTTGTTCCATACGAAAAAAATGTTTCAGTAGCGTAGAGCTCCTTGTGAAAGAGTTCGTCCAGGGAAGTACTGCCACCTTACCTATTTCTGCTGCCAAGCAGTAATGTCAGCATTACTGTGTTCCGGTTTTAAAGGGTAAGGGTGCTGGTGAAATTACAGCCGCGTGGAACTTGTCAACTTATGTATTAGGGTGACGGGCGCAGTGGCAGTGCCTCTCAGATCTTTGCGATTTAAAGTTCTGAGGGACACTGCAACTGTTATGGACAGGCGTGTAGCTTACCATCAGGCACTCGGCTTGTTTATCCCGTCAACGGATATTATAAAAAATAATAATAATAAAAATCCTTAACACCCTCTCTTCTTTAGAGCTTATTTCTGGGAAGACGTGTGATACTTACCTGTCATCACCAGTATGCGCTGCATTGTAGAAGACATCTGGAAGTGGGGAATCGTATTGGCTGAGCAAAGAGCTACCAGCTCGGGGCGAGTGAGGGCCGTGGGTAGCATAAGGCGAAAATGGAATTATGGCACGTAGAGCTGCTAGAGTTAGCAGCATTCCACCTGTGCAGGAGATAGAGGCATTAAGGAACACTGGGTGTAGAAACCATAACAAGCTACGGATGTGGCCATCAGGTGTGCATAGTGCTGTCTCTAGTCCATAGCACCATGGACGGAAGGACACACAGTATATTTCAACACTGACATGTAAGAAACTGATCTAGTTTACACTTTGACCTTTCAGATGAAAAGATTTCAGATGAAGATGATACGATATAGTTTTTATAGATGTGATATGAAAACAAGATAGTATCGTGTTAGAATGCGATTTTAAAACTAATACCGCAAGCGCAAAGCAATACCGTCAACAAAAAGTCAAATTTTGAGAAATAATCTTAATTTTTTTGAAAATAAGTTAACATTTTATAAAGCGGGATTTCCGTTTGGATGGTATTGTTTTTAACATGCGATATATGTATATTGAGATTTAACGGGGCTTACAATAGAGAACTTTTTTAGATGAGAAACGTATTAACTTTTATTTCTTAAAAGAGTTAGTTTTGAAGTATCAATTATATAAACAATTTATTATGAAGCATGTGTTACTGCAAATGTAATAAATATTCACCTTTAATACACGTTACTAAAATAAAATGTTAATTAAACGATGTACTTTTCAATATTGTCACACTTTAGCACTTCATTTACGTCACATTCCGACGTGCAAAGTAATTAGGACGAAACATCGACGAAATTCATTATTAACTAATTAGGTAATGATTCGACGATATCATGACGAAAACGTCTATTGAAATAAAGGTTTCATTTTTTTATTCTTCGTAAAAATATAAAGATTTATAATAAAGAGGATCAACCTCAATTAGGGAAGTTGGGATCTGAACGGCAAAAATTTTAAATGTTATTTAATACACAATGAACTAAAAATTATTTTTAAACAAAATACAAATTTAAGTATTTTCGTTTACGTTTACCAATCTTAATATTTATAATTTATTACCTTTATTATATATAATATATTTACATTTAATTATCCATTGTTTCTACGTAGAACATTCAGTAACGAATAAATTCGACTCTACCTATCTATTTACGCATCAAATTTCATTTGTATTTCCTCTGCTGCTAATAATACATACAGATATTAGTGTCTATCATCGAGTATATAACCAGAAATAGAGGCGAAATAAAGGCCATCCCTCCCTGGCAATTCATCAGGCAAATGAGCCTTTTATCACTTTTAAATGTCAACTCTCGTTTGCGCTGAAATCACAAATAGAAAGCTGAAATAGTACAGCGCCAGCAACTGACCTGTGTGTATGTCTCCGTATATTCCAAAAATATTGTGTATTTATTGTAATAAGACAATATCTCTAACATTTGGTGGTGTGGTAAAAACAGCAAAACATCTAATTATAAAACAAACGTATTCACATTTCATTGGTAATGAAATGTTAAATATGTAATTTTTCAATTTAGGTCCATTATTGCAAAGCTCAAGTTAAACTGGTCTATTTAAAGTTAAACAATTGACGACTCGTCAATTGTTTCCAGTTCGGGCTGGCCAATCGGAGCACAGTTGTGACTGTAATGATTTGGCAGAATAGTTTTCAAATTAAATGACATTTCGTCTCTAGTTCTGTTTTTATACTCGATGGTGTCTATAAACTAACCTGTGACAGTTGAAAGAGGAGTGAGGTTAGCGAATAACAATGCAGTAGCTATGCAAGCATAGAAAGGTGCACGTGCGCGCCCACACGACCATCGGAAGAAGTCCCAACAACGGAGTCCCAGTGTGTATTCGCCTCTTCTGCAGATGAGGTCTACGAACAAAGCTGCTACCCACATTGTTTCTAGGATGAGTACGGCTGCCGCACCCGCACTGTGTAAAGGAGAAAATCGTAAGTTTCTGAATATAATCGTACAAAATGTACGATATTATGGATAAGTAAATGTGAGCGTCAATAATTTTGTAATTTGTTGTTGTTCAAAAACATTTGGAAGGAAAAGACACGAATGTGCTTCGGCATGTTTACCTTACGTATCATATCGTATCGCAGTTGAAGAACTAATCTTTAATCGTCATACTTGTCTGAACGCGTTATTAAAAAAATCCGATAACAGGAATTATAACAACGTATGACTTGAAATAGGTGCTTCAAAAACAACAGAGCACATAAGTGTAAATCAAAGTTTCGCTCTAACTAGTATGTCATCCTACTCTCCAATAATTAAATCCATAGGCGCCGGCAAGTCTCGCCGTCTGGCTTTATTCGGACTTTTTGTCAATAAACTTCTCCATTTACCTACCTTCTCCCCAAGGTACAGTTTATCGTAGTAAAGACTAATGTGTTGGAAGGAAGTTCTTAAAAACTGCGATATTTCAAAACGACTTACAACTTCTGAAGTTTGCTCATTTGTTACATGTGATTATCTTTATGCTGTCCGCTTAGGGCATTAAAATGGTTCTGTGGTTAAGTGGAATAGCAACTATATCACTATCACTAAACTCTATCACTTGGCTTACAGGGTGCATGTATTATGTAGGTTATGTACCTAATGTGTATTTAAGTACCTAAGTATGTAGGTAGGTAATTATCAGGTTAGTTTTCTGTACCTAATTTCGGTGCCAAGTTTTATTATTTAAGTACGCAAATATTTTATCGTGATATAATAAATAATATTTCTGAATACAACACGCGAATATTAAATAATATTTCGTGATAATATTGTAAAACATTTAAATAATAAAAATTGCCACCAAAATCAGGTAGAGAAAACTCTCCAAAAAGTTACCCAGGTAAGCCTAAACGTTTGTTGGGCCATTAAGATTTAAATTTCAGCCTTAGTAAATAACTACTTGTAGATCACCTTGTAATATTATTCGAGATTACATTTTTATTTACGTTTGTAACTTACTTAAAGAAATACCTATATGAATTATTTATCTGCAAAGAATGCCGTAATAAATCGAAATCAAGTGCAGACGATATTCTGATTACTGAATTGATTTTTAATAGATATAACGTAGATATTGTGTAATAATATATAATTTATTTGTTATAGTGAATTGTATGTATTATATGATGTTATCATTTCTTTAAAACAAAAATTTCGCGGTTTGTAAATATCTTTGGTTCATCCTGACAGTTTTGGATAGCGGCAATACTTGCGTTATGACCCGTCTTTACCTACTTAATGACATCTTAGATTATGTGTTACGAATTAGTCGTGTACGTAAAATTATAACTTACATTAATTCATATTATTAATTACATAATAATAGCACCTTAATGTGTGTGAATAATACCACCCTCTGAAATTCCGGAATTATTGAATTGGATATCGTCGGAAAAACTCACTAAGTCCCACTCTACTCAAAAAGGAGTTTTTTCTATTTCCATTTCATTGGGAAAAACATCTATGACTGAAAAATTTTGTAAGTGCGTAGTGTCTTTCATTAAAACTGTATTTCGATTAAAGTTACATTAACCGATACGATAACAGGAAGTCCCTTTGCAGGTGAAATACAAAATTCTTGATCTCCAATCGTCGATTTGGCTTTTTAGCGTGTCTTACCTTTGAACCGACAATATTTTGTTCTATATCTTTAAAGCGTAACTATCAATTACTTTACTACGGCAGAATATTTAGATAAATAGTCATTTTGACACTCAATTAAGAACATAGTACTAAAATTTTCCGTCTTTCGGGACAGGTTAAGGCGTCTATTGGCCATACTGCCACTTCAATAATTTAATTTACTGATATTTGTCCGCGGAAAATTGTTATTCTTTACGGCGGTCATTGTGGTGGTCATTTTGAAACATAAATTGTATAACATCAACTATTATCTTATTTATACAAGGAGTAAATTACTGATAAACAATTAAAGGTCAACTCTCCCCTGACTGGTGACTTTTAAATTGGCTATAAGAGTTAATATGATGAGTGAGCTCAAAAGGTCGCTCCATTTGATTGTTCTCTTACACGAGACCTTACACTTGTAATGCATGTTAATTTTATTAAATAAAAAGCCTTATTCGTTGAAATGTAATTTCTGAATCTATAAATAATAGAAAATGTAAAAAACCTGTCGATTATAAAAAAAAGTTTCTTTTTCGTTAAAAAAATGTTTTTTTTTGTGCAAAATTATTTTATGAAACTCGCTCAATAAATATCATTTTAATTATTTTTATACTTACATAAGCGCCGGAGCTATTTCGAAGCCAAGAACCAGCAACTCCGAGCCCGCTGCACTCATTACTGGGGAACATAATCTAAATTTTATTTAAATACCTTAGCAGGTAGGTACCTATAACTCTTAAAAGTGTACAGAGAAAAATTTCGTCGTATAGTTCTTGGACTTTGAATATGATTACTCTTTTATAGCGTGGATGTTATAGATGAACAATTTGCGGTTTACTACAATCCAACTCAAGCCTCTCTGACAAGACGCTGTTGAATCAAGAGCGACAGGAAACCAGCCCACAGTTTAATGGTGCTTCAGAGATTTTCTACGATTTTATTCTAGAAATACAAAAAATTAAAAAACACGCCGGTCCGTTGCTTACACGATAAAAACCAGATCGAAAAAAGCAGCTGTAACAATGTGTCAGCCTGTTGGAATCAATTTGTCAATTGCATGTACTCTTTATCTTTTTGTCCTCGTAATTAGGTGCACTCGTATTATGTATCTGATATCGCCTGTTCTTTTTGCATTTAAATAGCAGCCTACACACACGCGTTCAAGTAAGACAAGAGGATATTCATAGTGCAATTAGAGTTAAACTCACTGCTCCATAGATAGAGATCCTTGTGAAAGAGTTCGTCCAGGTAAGTACTGGCACCTTACCTGTTTCTGCCGTCAAGCAGAAATGTTAGCATTACTGCGTTCCAGTTTAGAAGAGTAAGGGTGCTGGTGAAATTACAGGCACATGTGACTTGTCAATTTATGTCTCAGGGTGACGGGAGCAGTAGCAGTGTCTCTCAGATCTTTGCGATTTAAAGCTCTGAATGACACTGCAACTGTTATGGACAGGCATGCAGCTTACCATCAGGCATTGCAACTGTTGTGGACAGACATGTCGCTTACCATCAGGCACTGCAACTGTTATGGACAGGCATGTAGCTTACCATCAGGCGCAAGACTTGCTCGTCCCGTCACTTGATGTTATAAAAAAAAGAGTATACTTACGAGTAAGTTAATGTAAAAATTACAAAACATTTAATATCGATATGAAATGATGAAGAATTTAATAAGTTGATATGTAGATATGTACCCGAATCATAATAAGAAACAGATAAATAGAATCTGTAATTCCAAAACTATTTAAGACAATGGTGAATTGTTCTTTGAAATATCTAGTTCTTATGACTCACCCACAGCTGTTATAAGACCCCACAATCTTGCTAGAGGCTGCAGGACGTCCCAAAGTCTGGTCACAACAGACTTTTTAGGGGGCGCTTGTCTTATTGGGGTTTCAGGAGTGTTGACTTGAATTTCCGGGCCTACCCCTCGTTCTGGGGTATCTTCCGCACTCATATTTATTTTAAGTCACTAACATAGTGTCAATAAACCTTATATAAACAGAGTCACACAGTCTCGTGGACTACAAGGCCGCATTTTATTGTTTTAAACAGATTGAACAAACAAAACGTAACTTTATTTCTGTTGGTCAGTGCAGGTGGCGTGATTCGTAATAGTCTTACTATTTGCTTAATGTTTATATACACCGTTGTAATATTTAATGTGAATACAAACGTCACAGTTTTACGTAAATAATATATGTGCTTTGTTTTTATTTATCTTAAATAGTAAGTATTATGTAGAGTTCCATATAACACACATAAAACTAAAGTTAGAAAAATATCACACTGATTTTTGTATATCTCTTTTAAAATTTGATCAGCACAACACATCAAAACACTGGCGTTTTGCCCGGTTACCAAAATATAACGCCTTGGAATAAATGCTACGTTCTATTTTACCTTATTGTTCCTTTTGTAAACTTCGAAACAACTTATTGTGTTGATTTTAAAAAGTATTTAATACTTGACATTCCATGAGAATCGTTAAAACCACAGCGAAAATATTCTTCCCGAAATTTTAACCGAAAAATATACCGGCGATCGATTTTCTCGCGCACAAGCTCTCTCGATGGTGGATAGGTTGCGACTGAGCAACGCATGAATAGAAAGAAGCCAAATGCCAAATACCCTACCTAACGACACTGCTTGATATCGCATGGATGCAGATTTCTAATCAGCTTTTTACAAGACATTCGTGAATACAGAATTCGGATCTGTGTAAGGAGTATCAGCAAGCAAGAAAACGGTATAATAAGTGTTTTTTAACGGCGTTAATTAATACCGGTGTTTACTCAGAAATATTTAAGTATAGTTAAAGCGTAAAGTTTTCTAGTAGCCTGTGACCAGTAGAATGCAACGTAGTCGCGTTACATAATTTTTGTAAGTTGGTGCGGATAAGTATAAGAATCTTCAGAATACCTACCTTACATCATACATGTAACAGTAGTGCTTCTTGTGAAAGTGTTCGTCCAGGAAAGTATTGCCATATTACCTGTTTCTGCTATTTTCGTTCCAGTTTTGAAGATTAAAATTACAGACACATGGAACTTGTCAACTCATGTCTCAAAGTGACGAGCGCAGCGGCAGTGCCTCTCGGATCTTTGCGATTTAACGCTCTGCAACACTGCAACTGTTATGGACAGGCGTGTCGCTTGCCACCAGTTGCACCACTTGTTCGTCCCATCACATGATGTCATTATCTGTTACCTGCTTATGTAAATAATAATATAAATACATACATTTTAAAAATTTAAGAATAATTAACAAGTCCTTCATGATTTAGTCAATAACAGTAATACATACATTTTACTGGGCCACTTTGTGAAGAGAGCCTCAGAAGACACTTACACCTTCGTAAATTCCCGGATTTTTAGAAATGTTAGTAGTCTAATGGTCGTATTCCAGAACTTTACTCAATGCTCAAGTCAGGATTTGAGTATGGTTTAAAGCATTCAAAATCATACTCAAGTCCCTGCCATTAGAGTCGTATTTCCAGTGCTTGTGTTTTAATTGCAAACCTGACTTGAGCATTGAGTAGAGTTCTAGAATACGACCCTTAGGGTCATCAAAAGGTTAACCTAATAGTGTCATGCCACAAATATGATACAATGCAACAGAGAAGTGTGGTACGTACATACAAAGCATATTATCTTCTAGTATGTAAATTTATTGATTTCTTTACGATTGTTTTTAAAAAGATCGTATTTAGCGTCAACCAATGATATTACCTATACTTATAAACAATGCTCACTGGCGTCAACTGTCTAATGAAATTAATGTTCCTTGATTAATTTTAAGTATACCTAAGAATATACTTAATAGAAGTATAGGAAATACCGTAGGAGAAAGCATTTTGTTTAGAGGATAATGATTGTAAAAAAAGAAGAAGGAAATTCTTGACGATTTGGCTTAATGGGTTTATTCCGATGCCGTAAAACCAATAAAAAAAATCTTGATCTGTCACTTGCTGCCGCCGCACCGCCCGCCATGACACACGAAATGTAATTGTTCTATTTTGTGCATCGTGTTGCGTTGTAATTCAATAGAAAATACAAGTGCTTTGTGATTCGAACAGTTATTGTAGTGGGTGTATTTTTAACAGTGCTCCAAGTTTTAAGCTCTGTTGGCAATGCAGACCGGCAGTGGAGCTAAAAATCCGCCATGGGCCCGATCAAATGTGAATACAAACATGACCGGCATGAATCCACAGATCATGGATCCAAATTCAATGATGTCGCAGCAAGGTATGATGCCTTTTCAACAAACGCAGGTGTTCAGTCCGGGCATGATGCAGGCACAAGGTGGTATGGCTATGCCAATGGCGGGCCAAATGCCAATGAATCAAATGGCACAAGGTCAGATGTACCCGGGTAACGTAGTTGCGTACCCGACTCCTCGAGCAATGAACCCTGGCTTGTATCAGAACACGCAGAATAACCAGTCTCAGTCCAACACGGAACAACGAGTCTTCACTGGCACAGTTACAAAAACCCATAATGATTTTGGTTTTGTTGATCATGATGTTTTCTATCAAACTTCTGTCTGTGCAAAAGGTATAATTCCGAAAGTAAACGATCGAGTACTTGTGGAAGCTACCTATAACCCGAATATGCCGTTCAAATGGAACGCTACTCGAGTACAAGTGTTGCCAAAGACTGGGCCGAACCAGAAACAAAACCCATCAAAATCAAACACATATAATGCTGTGCCTCCACCATCGAATAACAAAAAGCCTATGCCAACTCGTCGTGATGACCGTCCTATTCGTAGGGATGAAAGAGTAAGAATTTTTTGTATTTTGATTAATCAAATAAAAACAATTTAATTTTTTTTGTAAATGAAGAGTATACATATATATAAAACTACATTGAGTCACACTACTGCTGATAAGTACTAATAACCTACTGTTGTTGAAAAGAAAGCTTTTGTGACCAATTTTTAGTGAAAGAGTAACATGAAAGTTTGAAACTTTGCCATAAATTTAGTTGAAAGAACTTGTACTAGCCACTCTTTATCCTTTCTTTTAAATAGTTTCAACTGCCTGACTATATAAAATAAATAATTATATTTTATTTTATTAGTGAAATGGCTATTTCAAATATATACAATTTGCAGTTTTCACAGAAGCGATCTCGCACACGAAGCCGCTCCCGCTCCAGAGACAGACGTGACAGCCGAACACGTAGAGACTCTCCACCTCGCAAAAGGCCTGTTGTTCACCAACCTTCACCTGTGAAATATGTTGTACGGGTCCCTCGTATGCCCTTGGACATGTAAGTGTTATGAAAGTATATTACATTTTTGTATGAACAAATCCATGGTAGACCAGGCTGAGTCCTTGCCTGGGCCAGGACATGGTCTGGGCACTATGTCGAAATGTTGGTGATCTCGAAATCTTTTAGTATTTTCAAGTCTTGTTATCAATACTTTGTCTTTAATAGCAATTGCAATAGCTGCCATCTCAAGTTGTGAAAATTGCAATAATAAACAATGCGCTTAGTCTGATCACTGAAGTGAAAAATATTAAAAAATAAAATATTAGAACCTTATCAAAATGCATTGACACTTGACATGATGACAGCACTTATGTGGTAGTGCAATAATTACTTCTAAATAACACCATGTAGCATGGATGACATTCCCGACCGGAGTTCTGTGGGTCCTACACGGCACGTACTTGGCCTGGCCCGGCACAGTGCTACTTGAATCATCCTTTATGAGTCTTATGAATGTAGGTTTTTATTTCAAGACTTCATTAATACTATGCCACAAATTCAAATAAATATTATGATTTCAGACAAAAAGTTGATGTACCAGGACTGTCTCAAAGATACACCAACTTGTATATTCCATCTGATTTCTTTAACGCTCATGTGAAATGGGGTGAAACATTCCCTCCCCAAATGCCATTCTCTCTTAACAATCCTTGTGCATACCACATTATGAGTAGAGAAATTGAAAACCCCAATGCCAATGATGCTGTTTTGGAGCCACCAGATGCTGATTACAAGTTTTCTGCCAAGGTAAACAAATTGATGAATGTTATCTCATTTATATAGTGACATAGTGAACAAATGTGCTGATAAATGTTTTATATTTGAAGGTTATGCTGATAAGTATGCCTACATTGGAGTCACTGTATCAGAAATGTGGCCTCACCAAAATTGATGAGAAAGACAAGCGTTCCAGCTCTAAGACACCACTGCATCCGACAAGATTGATCAAGTTCCTTGTAGGACAAAAGGGAAAAGGTGGTGAAAACTTTGCTATAGGTGGACCATGGAGTCCTTCTTTAGATGGTGAAAATCCTGAATCTGATCCTGGAGTATTGGTGAAGACAGCTATACGCACATGTAAAGCATTAACTGGTGTTGATTTGTCATCTTGCACTCAGTGGTAAGTGTCATTTATATTTACCTGATTCCAGTTTCTATCCTTATAGCTAACTTCTGGCCTGCTTGTTTTCTCCATTTATAAAAGTCAAAAGTTTTGCAATAGCTCCAGTTTGTTACATTGTTTTTGTAAATTTAAGAAATGGAGAACAAGACAAACTTTTGACTCTTGTATTTGTCGTTAACCATGGTACAGCACACATTCATTATGTGAGAGTATGGAGGCGTCGTACATCGCGAATGGCGCAGATTGGAAGCAGTATCGATATACCGGCCTATCAAATGAGCAGTTTTTGACTCTCGTACCGGATGTGTCGTGTCCATGCTTGCTGTCGGACACAGCCGACTGCAGCGCTTGTGAGTATGCATCACTTTAACTGCATTACCCATGCAGGTACCGAATGGTGGAGTTTTACTACTGGCGCGAGGGCAGCGGCGGCAAGTCTCGTCTCGAGACTGTGGTGTTGTTCCTGCCAGACGTGTGGTCTGCACAACCTTCGCGTGTCGACTGGACCACCGTTCAGGAGCAATATAAAGCAGCCTGCGAAGCCGCCATTAAGAAACTCGACGGTGCGCCTACTTCAGAGTCATCCAGCAACGAGCAGAGCCAGCCTCCGGCGGCGACTCCGGCCCCTGCGACTGTGGCTGCAGACGGCGAGGCGACAGCGGACAAATCCCAAATTGTTTGTTCCCAGTTTTGTTTGGTTATGTTTCCGGCTGCGTGCTCTACAGTACTATACAGAAGACATCGACGCCTCTGCAGATGCGATGACGTCCGAACACCAAGATGTCGCTTAAATATCGGTTTAAATTGGATAACAAATAGATTTTTTTCCTACACAGTATATTTCATCTTAAGTAAAATTAAGAAATATTCAGTTCAATTTGAAGTATAGAAGTTTCAAGTAACTGAAACAAGAGTAATTTTTTAATGATACAAAAATATTCAGTTATAACATTTTTCAGGAATCTACTGAAGGTCTTGACGGTAGCACTATTACGATAGATGAAAATGATGATGATGACGACAAGCCTGAACCCACGCACTACTCCAAAATAGACTTGAGGACAATCAAAGTGGATCAATTGAGACAGGAATTGCGCGCTCGGAACGTCAGTTGCAAGGGTAAAAGAATTTATGATTAAGTACCTAAATATTTGCTAAACAATATGGACTATTGATATTGTAATTTATTTTCACGTTTTTATGTTATGATAATGACTTGAGAAAAGTTTAAATATAAAATCAGTCTTGTCAAAATTTTGTTCAGGAATTCGCTCTCAACTAATATCGCGCCTATCCAAGTTGCTAAAAACCGAAGAAGAAAAGGAAGGAAAATCAGATGATGTCATGGAGTTAGAGGACGATGAACAGGAGAAAGACAGTGAAAAGAGAGAGCCTGAGAAAAAGGAATCTGAGAAAAAAGACGAAGATAATAAAGAGAAGGTAGAGACTTTAGAAGAGAAAGAAGAAAAAAAAGAAGAGAAGAGAGAGAAAACTGACAAAGAAATAGAGGAAGAGAAAAGAAGGGTAAGTAATGCAATATACAAATGAGCAATATACAAATATTTAAATAATGGAGAAGAAAGGGTAGCAATTGAATGCGCACTACTATAAAATGCTGCTATGATCTTAATGTTTTGCAAATTTAGAAAGTCATGCACTAAAAAAAATTATACTACGTATCTAAAAAGCAATATTCTTGTTTGTAGATTGAAAAAGAGAAACAGTCATTGAAGACCCGATATGAGTTGCCAAGCTCACCTTATATAATCGTGCACCCAAATGCAGCAGCTAAGGGCGGTAAATTCAATTGTAGCGTCGCTACGCTATCTCTTTTGCTGGATTACCGCATCACTGACAACAAAGAGCATAGTTTTGAGGTAAGTTTTTTCTATAAATCCGATCAGAAGGGAGTTATTACCTCCATGGATCCATTTTTCATTAGTTCCATTAGTAGCTACTAATTTGATCTGTGACCAAATGTGGAGCATCATGGCCACTGCTGCTATTGGTACTAGGTGTGGTTCTAACCAATCCATAGTTTTGGAGTCTTAGCCCATTGAAAATAATTACAATTTGTCATGACTATGAGTAAGTTTTGCTTGTTAATCTTTCGTTGTTATAGTAAAATGTATGTGTTAAAACTAAAAAAACCTCTTCTACTATATTAAATGTTCTTTATGTAACACCCAAGCGCCCTTGAATTGAAATGAAACCCACCGAAGACATAAATAAAAACAAAAATAAATTTCATTTTGTATGTGAAAAAAATTGAATAATAGTAATTTCTTGTGTTCGCCAGTTGTTTGTGTTCGCGGAATTATTCAATGAGATGTTGATGCGTGATTTCGGATTCTACATCTACAAGACACTCTACACCATTCCTGAGAATGTAGAGGAAGTCAAAGAGGTAAAGGAGAAAAGCGAAGAGAAAACCGACAAAAAAGAAGCAGAAAAAAAAGATGAAAAGAAAGAAGAGAAAGACAAAGATACTAAAGATAACAATAAGGATAAAAAAGACGAGAAACGTGACGAAAGACGTGATTCGCGGAAGCGAGAAAGACGGGTAACTTGTAATTTTTTATCTTTTGCTTTGCGCCCTTTACCTTTTGTCTCAAATTATGTGATTTGCAGCAAGTTGGAAGTAAAAGATTGGGTTTTCGTATGTTCTGTGGTAGATTAGTTGTAAATAGTTATTGCATATCTAGGCATGAATGCGTGTCTCCGTGTCTTCACTTCATGTTGATGTCTCTGGCCAGGAATCTCACAGTGACGACGAGCGTAGCGGCTCTCCCCGCCGCCGCAGCCGAGGTGTGGATTTACCCCCGGACCCATACCTCTTACTATCACTCGTCTACTTCGATACTTCGCGGTGCGGCTACATTAACAGGAAGGACCTGCAGAATCTCTTCATGAGCCTTGGCTTGCATCTGTCAAGATCACAAATACGCAGTATCTTGGAAAAAGTTTGCATAAAGGATAACTTCACTTATAAGTAAGTGGAAATGAAATAGTTCTTTGTGAATTCATTAAATTTACTAATTTAGTAATCTATATATACATAACAAAAAAATAGTTATTTATTAAAAAGTCGAATGTAAACTATAATGCAGTGCAATGAATCATTAAAAATGAATGGTTTAAATTGACCAATCGTGTTTCAGCCCCATATTAAAATAACCTCTAAAAATGCTATATAACTTAACAGGCCTCTGGTGCAAGCAATTAAAGATGTCTCTTCTGGCACGCCCGAGGCGATGCAAGATCTTCCTTTAGACTCTGTCGCTGCTGTTTCAACCAATGAGGTCCCGAATCAGGTGAGCATGGTATGATCAACATCAATTATATCTTTTATTTCTCTACTTATTGCTTTCATACTGTGTCATAAGCAAGTGATAAGACGATCGAATCGTACCCAGAACCTCCGATATAGAAGGCAAGCATTTTTACAACTAGTCTGCTAAAATACATATGCCTGTAGCTAGCACACTTGTATGCCCTGAACGCTCAATTTACATAGAGGCAGAACGGAATGTAAGCGAAATTTTGTAACGATATTTTACATAGTAAAGTATAATGAAGTTCATGCTGAATTGTGTAACGCACAAACTAGATGCGAGCCAAAAAAACAGGTCGCGCGTCTTCCGCGGTATTCTCGCGCATGCTCGAGAATTCTCACGCAACCTCGGGAAAGCTCGCGAATCACGGGAATTCCACAGCTGCAGTGCGACGTCGCACGTCTAGGAAAAAAATAAATAATATGTGTGTAGATCTTACCTGTATGTCAACATGCTAGTTACATTTTTTACCTGTCTCCTACTGGCGTAACTTTAACATCTATACCTCAGAAATCTAAATAAATAGTAGATAATTCAGACAAGATATGGCCAGTATTTCGACGGCCCCTACGTAAATCATCGAAAGTCATTTTAGGTTTTTTTCAGTACAGCGTTTTAAAGTTTGATTGTAAGATAATTTGAAAAATATAAAGATTACACCTGCAATATCAATAAAAAACAATAAATTAAGCACTTTATTTACGTTATAATTATTTAAAGGATTATATGTTAGTTTTTTGGAAACTAGATTTTCGATAGTATACGTCGAGTTTATAACTACATTTCATATCGAAACTGTCACTTTCAATTATTTACGTCGGATTCGATGTTAGTTATTTTAACGAAACTGGCTGTTTATTTACCTTTATTTACGCTGAGTATGTTACTTCATTTGCTAACGAAACTAGCAATTTCGATTGTCTACGTCGTCAAAAAGCCATTGGTATTACCGTTTTCGATGTAGTACCCCTGTGATATTTTAAGGAAAAAATATATTTTAGTTAAAAATATCTTTCTTTATTGGTGCTTCTTTATTACAATTATATTGTAATTACCCTAAAATCACAATAAGTTTCAATCAGTCTTATAAATTAGGATTATTTATAATAACGGCAAATTTATCATGGTAAACAACTACTTGTTACTACCTTAAAATCACAATCGGTTTGAATCAGTCTTAGAAATTAGGAGTATTTATAACAACGGCAAATTTGTCATGGGAAACAACTAGGTATTTGTTAAATGACATTGTGTTCTAAAATATACATTATTTTATTGACAAGTATATAAACGAAAATAACAATCATCTCTTAGATAAGAATGGAATCAAAACTGTGTTAACATAAAAACAATCCTTATGACAACTCTTAACGATAATTGCACCATAAGCTGGTTTAAGAGATGCTATTTTCATCTGAATTATATTCGTTTTCTTGAGAATTGCTGCCGCACGGTGATTCACGCTCCATACTAAGGCGGTCATAAATACGTAACTCCGAAATTATTATTATTTTTTTATTTTATTACGTTAAAATATGATTAGGTAAACGTAAATTAATAAAATTATACATTTTAAAAAATATTTGACAATATTTAGGTGTAAAAATGTCTCGCAGTAATTTTGTTTTTAGACGATGTATCTAAAACATTTTATACTGCGACTTTTAATGGTAAAACTGTGTAAATAATGATTATTTGTATTAACAATAACCACAAATGAATAAATTAAAACAATAAAAATACATAAAAAAGTTCATTTTACAAAATACAAACAAAACACAAATTATACCAAAATACATTAAATCTCAACAATATTAACTTTAAATACATAACAAGTCTAATACAGCTTTTGACAGTACACCTTTTTTTTTAACAGGTAACTTTCGTAGACCTGTTATGAAGGGATCTGAATGAAGAAGCAGCCTATTTACTAAATCTGTGTTGGTCACAATGCGACTCATTTTACGCGTATGATTTTTTCTAAAAGACTTGATGTATTTGTTAGTCGCTTCAGCTGCTTCTTCAGACAACTCTCCGATTGACAACAAACCGTAATCTATAACGCACCATGAATTAGAACTTTGTGAACGGAAGCAGGCATGTTATACCACGGATACTCGGCAACTAACTGCCGAGCCGTCTCTAAAGCGAACTCTTCGAAGTTCGTCTTATTAATATTATATCCCGAATTTAAACATTGAAGGATGATCCAGCAACGATCTAGGAGATCCTTCTTGATCCCAGTAATTTCAGCGGAAATTTCTGAATTCGAGAAAAACCGCCTGGCTGTATTACCATCGTTTGATGTTCCGCTTCCGCCACTTTTAGGCTTATCCACTATAAGCCCTAATCTTTCTCTAAATTGAGTCTGAACATATGATTTTTTTGCAGCAACAAGCATTTTGTCATTAGCGGACCTAGCTTGCCATTTCCTAACATCTAACTTGTACGCGACATGAACAAAATATTCAAAAAAACGTATTAACGCGTGAAGAGGTGATAAACCAAATTCATATTTACTCTCATCGACTTCCTTATTTAAACATTCGTCAATTTTGTTCATTTCACTGGGCAAGGCGTTACAAATAAAACATTTTGATGAAGAAACACCACTAAGTGCATTACACACTTTACCATCTACCATAGTAAGTTGCAAACAATGAGTAATGCGATATTCGCGATCTTCTTCCTTGAAAACAGTAGGCTGCAAGTTCCTTATTTTATCTTTAAAATGAGCTTCTTCCTCAACTGACACTGCAGTCGATTCCTTCAAATATCGGAGGCGTATAGGACGACAGTATCGAGTTGATGAAGGACGAGGATTTTTCCACAAAACTACTGAATTTTCTTTGTTATCTGTTGTCAAAACAAGCTGAAGTGGCACATACGAAGTAACAAACAGGCTACTGTCTTCAAGAGTGGAGTCAGAAAAACACTGTTTATATTCTGAATGCCCTGTACTGCCATCGAAACCCCATTTCCCTATCAAAGATATCTTATCTAGAGACTCATTAGGTACACTATCCAAAACATCTTTTTGAGACTTGAGAATCCGATTGGCAGTATGATCTAATAAACTTTGAAGTTCGACTTCGGCGGATGATTCTGTAACAGTAATATCTGAAGGATAACAGTGTTTTTTAGATTCCACGACACTTTGGTAAGATGGGAAAATGGTTTTTGAAAACTTATTGTCTATAAATTTCTTTACTAATATATATTGATGTCGAGTTAACTGAGCTTAACAATGAGCGATAAAACTTCGCTAGAATCGATTTCAGGACAAGACAAGCTATCGGACGCATTGAGCAATGACTGTACAAGAGAAGGGTCTTGGTTAGACAAACTAGCCAATCTTCTCCTTTTTGTACGTTTACTGGTGTCGTCAAAGTTAATTCTCGGACGGCCATGCGATGAAGAAGTTGATGGTTTAACTTCGTCAAAGCTCTGAGATACACGTAACTCAGTTCGCTGTACATCAATATTTTCAACGACATGCAGCCAATCTGAATATTTTTCTAAGAATTTAGATCTAGTACGATTCGACTTTGCCCAGTAGTGGGAAATTCGTTTACAAATATTCTTAATTTTAAGGCTTAAAGTCTCTAAATCAATATTTTCGATGTCGTCAGAAAGGGATGATGTTTCGGTCAAAGTGCTCAGGACGTGTTGCATTTTTTCATTTGGATTACCCACTTTAGAGTGCCAAATATCAAAAATTGTCATCCTCGATACAGAACATTTGAAAAATGTACCTAAAACAATATGAAAGCTGAACTTAAAAAAAAATTTAAAATTCAATACTATGGACATGCATACTTTGACACCCCTTTAAGCCAAGAAGAGGCAGCAAGATGCAAATGAAACTTATAGCTCTTAATAAGGACATACTCCTTATTCAAAAACCATATACCTCAGGTGCAGCTCAGCGCAGCCAAAAGTTGTAGGTCTAAAGGAAATTAAGTTATGCCAAAAATTTTCACCAAAAAACTGCCTTCAATAAAAAAATTATATAAAAAAAAGTATGCATAAAAAAAATTAAAAAAAATTGATAATAAAAGTACATACCATGCTCTTGGATCTCCATGCTTTCACAACACGTAAACACTTGATTTGGAATAGTGACACTCAAAAACAAAGTGATTAAGTTTCGATGACTCACACGTGGTGATAATTAGTCTCGCGATGCGCTCACTTCCGATGCACAAAAGTGAATGATAACGTGACCTAATTACATTGATATTTATAGTTTTTGGAAGCTTGTTAACTAGTTACTAACTTAGTGAGTTGATCTAACCGGGATAAGCCAATGATTTTTTTTGATTTATGGCCTATGGGGGAATCACAGTGTGCCGTGCTGAATGTTTTTATAAAACCTATGATATTCCTTTGGAATCACCCCTGAATTATACAAGGAATCGAGATATTTGCACTTGGCATCGGTAATAGCAAGAGTGTCAGGATATGCCATTTTTAATTCGGTATTGTTATTTATTCTTTGACCACGCCTTATAGTTCCAACAACAGAATTTAAGCATTGCTGCTCACCTTTTAAATCATACTTAAAGAAAAGGTAGTTTGGCACACCACCCTAATCTCTTCAATTTTGTTCCGCGATGTATTAGCATTGTTTGTATCTTTTTTCCAATTTCATTCATTCAACAATGGTTTGTAATCAAAGATATCCTGTTGAGTCATTTCGATTACATTATATGGTTTCCCCGAAGTTTTGGCCCATCTTACTAACGCATACCACTTGATCAGGGGTATAAATTAGTTTCCCTCTCGACTCTTTCTCGATTAAGGCATGTATACTGTCACCCTCATTCTGAGTGTGACCTCTATCTAAAAACCTGTGAGTTATGACCACATTATATTGTTTCGATAAAGCCATATCATGGAATATACGACTGTTTCTATTTTGACCTGAGCAATTATCAGACCAAAACAAAAACGTCTTTGCACCTTTATCAATAAGCTTCATAAATAGTGTCAAGCAACTGCTTACCTCATTTGCTCCTCGACTACCTGTGCATTCTGTCCACATGTAGCAAAAACCTTCATTTTCGGCTCATAAACCGTAAAATTGTAAACCGATAATGTTCGCTTTTAATAAAACAAACCAATGTCTCCATTGGACAATTTAAAATTTTTTGAAAATAAAAATAACTTCGAATCTACTTTGAGCTAATTGCTTGTCATTCTGCTTCAATTCTCTTGCAATTTTCTTGTTTTCTAAGTGAAGAGAATGAGCGTTTACCTCTGTTCTGTTGGGTTTTTGTTATTTGAAAATGAATAACATTTATCACATACGTCTTTCTTCGGAATAAAGAATGCAGTGTTCATATTTTCGTTTATTATATCGGTGTATTGACGCACCGTAAGCGCTTGACTACCATAATTTGCTACTTAGTCCCATTGTTTGTAAAGCGAAAACATCTTGTTCATGCTTAAATTATTGACCAGGTATAACTTATCGGTACTTTTTCGTGTATAATGCGACTCGACTGGCTGAAAGGAAGCGACATGATCACGTACACTCTTTACCATTTCAGCAGTTTGCACAACTGGATGGTTTGGGTGTTTTCCCCTGTTATCGAACAAAGTAACTCCTTCTTGAATTAATTTAGAATGAGCAGTTCGAACAGTTTGGTCTGTGATACATAAAGTATTCAAGAAAGTTCTGAGGCAAACTTGTATAGGTTCATAGGGTGAATCTGGTTGATCAGAACTAGAGGGCAGAGGGAGAAAATACTTTGTCGTAAAATTTCGCCGAGAATGACCCTCGATAGTGACGCTTCTCTTCTTATTTTTTTTTTCCAGAAAATCTCAATACTCAATACTCAATACGTTTATTGCAGACCATAATGTTACAATGTTAGGTGGTAGTAGCAGTTAACGTTATGGACCCTGTAAGGGCACAGCAAAACTAAAAACAACTGCATGCACAGTTGTTTTTACAAATTTAAACTTATTCTATTGTAAACTAAATAACTAATATAATGAAATGATGATTAACTTAGACAATTACTTGTTATGTAGGTATTACTGAACAATATAGATTAATCCAAAATAAAATATTTAAATTTGAAATTTGAATTAATTAGATTATTATTGTATTAATATGTATTTTTTGAAATTAAATATTTAAATATCTCTATCTATTATTCTATTAATGTAGTATATATCTATTAATGTAGTCCCCTGCTTGACATGATCTGACAGTTTCCAAAACTGTGTGAGTATGTTTTGGCGGGTTTCAGTGTCGAATTTTTCAAAGCATTTAAGTTTACATGTTTGAGGGCAGATTGGACGCAATTTTTTTTTCAGCTTTATGTTTACCTTTTCTTGTAATGTGCTCTTGGCCAGAATTCAATAATCCTTTTCTTTTGTTGTCTGTCCATTTCTCTTCACATCGTTTTCTTTTTTTGCCAGGGTTTGTTTTGAATCTAACCTTTCTTTTTTTATTTAACTTACTCGTACTCGGTGAATCACATTCCGAAATAGTTAGGAGAGATTCGACACTGGCGATTGGCATTGGGCTATTGATTGGTGTAAGTTGAATATCGTGAGTTGATATGCTACGGTCCACAGATTTAAGTAATACAGCATTATCAATGTGTTCTTCTCGTTCAGTCTACACCTGTTCAGATTTAGAACATGAGTTAGTAACGCCAAGGTCATAGTTTTCAATTTGGCTTTGTTCTGGAATTTCAAAATCTTGTAATGTGGAAGGTAAAGGTGTATTTTCTAAGCTGTCTAAAATACACGATTCTTGGTTACTGGGATCACCCAGTTTTACAAGTATCAAGTATGAAGCTTTATTCGCATCACGCGTCTATTCATTTGGTCAAGTATTGCTTATTTGGCAGTAATTGTTTCGGACGGATATAGAGTTTAGGCCCCCTGTTACTTTCGATGATTTACGTTTTTCTTATGTTAAAAGTTCATATTTAATCATTATATGTAAATAAAAAGCTAGATGTTGCACATTATTTTAATAAAGAAGTGTAAAATACATAGGAGATGTAAAATATTTAAACTTATCGGGTTTAGGTGTTTCATCATCAGTTACTCCCTGAATGGAACTGTCTGTGTTAACTAAATCGATTATTTTCCTACATTTGGTAGAAATCTTTGAGCAATTCATCGTTAGCTTCGCTATAATTTGAAACGCAAAACAAAATATGACTGTTAACTGGACACATGTTCCTACCGCAGCTACTCGGTGTACACTAACAGCACCGCCGCGTAAACTCTCGAGAGTGGTAGTTTCGTCTCTTTCACACCGCACCCGTCACCGCCTAAATAATCGAATCTCCATTTTCAATAAACTACTTCGGAAATGTTACATTATTTTCGATGATTTACGTATTAAATTTCCGCTAAAGTACACTTTTTTAAATCTTTTTTTAAGTGGATGTAAAATATAACCGAATAGAAACCGATTACGCTAATAAAAAAACGACAAATTTGACTTTCGATGATTTACGTGAGGGCCGTCGATTTAACTAAATACACATATCAAAACACGATTACGACAGTGTTAAGGTCAATAAAGGCGCATAGTAGCAGCTCCCATACCTTTTCTACATAAGTTTTGATTATAGTGACCCTCCCTATCAACCTCTTAAAGGCTATAAGACTGTGCACAGAACCTTGTAAGTTCAGGTTCTGACCCCAGATCAGCCGGTTGACACAGACTTCATTCGGTTCTTAAGAGGCTAGCGCCTCGGGTGAGCTGCCCCGGGTGCACGCACAGTACCCTCCCTATTTTCCAGATAGGTACCGTAGCTGTACGCTCACATCCCGTTGCGCATTGCATACTAGCAGATATAGATGCATAGTAGCAGTCGCATGTAAGGTAGCCCTGTTTGTATTCATATATAAAGCGTGCCAAATATGTACCTAAATATACATGTATTTTGACCTTAAAATTATGATGTATATTTTGATAATGTTCGATGTTTTCTTTTTCCTATAAAATGTGTTCTGGAATAGATTACAGAGTTGGAATTGGCTATTGCGGCGGGCAATCGCGAGTTACTACCTGTATTCAATCGGCCGAGTCAAGAGGCCTCCTCAACTTCGGCCGAAACTAAGGACGTTAGTGACACTGGTACGTTATTGATGTACTCCAAACATTAAACACATAAACTCGTAAACCTAGTAACCTCCGTAAGTATTGATGTGAACTTTATGACAATCTATGATTATACCTTTGTTTTATACTAAAAAAAGGTTTACAATATTAGATTGTACAACAAGTGCATAAAACGCGTCATTTTACCCGAGACGAGTATCACCCGAACCGCAGGCGAGGGTAAAATGGGTTTTATGAACGAGTATTATACACTTTGCTTTTCACTTCGATTGCGAGGAAATTAAACAGCAATATTACAAATAAACGATTATTTAATTAAAATTGAATTTAAATTTACAACAATTAGACATTATTAATGTGAGGGAGGGTGGACACTTAAGTCGAGGGTAAAATGTGTTTTATGAACGAGTTATACACTCTGCTTTTCACTTCGATCGCGAGGAAATTAAACAGCAATATTACAAATAAACAATTATTTAATTAAAATTGAATGTAAAATTACAACAATTAGACATATTTAATGTAATGGAGGGTGGATACGTAAGTCGAGGGTGAAATGGGTTTTTTGAACGAGTTATACACTCTGCTTTTCACTTCAATTGCGAGGAAATTAGACGTTTCGCGATCGGGCCGAGTTGGAACCATGAAAAGTACTCGACGCCGTGCTCGGACCGTGCCTCGGCCGTGCCCCGGAGTCGGCCCGGTCTAACATGAAGTTTATACAAAAGCGTATATAAAAATTTGACCATGTCACGGCCGGCGTACGACTGGAGCACGATCCGGCCCCGGCACGGTGTAACATGAATCAGCCCATATCGTTTTAAGAGGTTGTGGTAGGCCCCCAGTTAGGTTAAACTACCGAATTACACAGCAAAGATGTCTTGTGCATAGCGACTAGCTACTAAATACAGGATTACAACTTATCGAAAAACCAAAGGTAGTGGATGGGATATGTGTCGAAGAGAACATAATAAATATGACATATAAATTTGAAATTTATCATGAGCTTTTCGGTGAAGGAAAACATGATGAAACCTGCACGTTGAAGAAGGTTCACAACCCTCGGAAAACGTGTAAAGTCCCCAAACCGCATTGGACCAGCGTGGCGGACTATGGCCTAAACCCTCGTCTGAAAGGAGACCCGTGCCCAGCAGTGGGACGTATAAATGGGTTGATGATGATGATGATAATATTTATTTAGGTGTGGTGGTGTACAAGTCGCGTGTAGTAGACGTGGGCGCGCTGGTGGCCAGCGCGGCCCGCAGCGCTTTGGTGCGCACCAAACTGGAGGACGAGCTGGAGAGCACGAAGCGCGCGCTGAAGGCCGCCCGCGCCGCCGCTGCGCACACGCTGCAGGCCGAACGCGGTGCGCAGAACCAGCTCTCCGACGTCAGCGAGCACCTCGCCGCCGCCAAGGCGCGGATCACCTCCCTCATGGTTGGTGCTGCACTTTGACGCTAGGACCTTTTTTATTTTCTCTTCTTTTTTTATTAGTAATAAACACGGTTGGCCACAATATCACCTGATGTTAAGCGACGATGTGACGGACGATGGTAAGCGTTCGCCTAAAAATACCTTTTCACTCTTGCTTTGAATAGCCCCAAATTAGACTTCGAGAAACACATTTCTTTTTTCTTTTTTATAACATCAAGTGACGGGACGAACAAGTTGTGCGCCTAATGGTAAGCGATACATCTGTCCATAACAGTTACAGTGCTACTCAGAGCTTTAAATTGCAAAGATTGAGGGGCATTGTCACTGCGCCCGTCACCCTGAGATGTAAGTTCACAAGTCCCATGTGCCTGTAATTTCACCAGCACCGTTACCCTTCAAAACCGGAACACAGTAATGCTGAAATTACTGCTTGGCGGTAGAAATTGGTAAGAGCTCTACTACTACTAAAACAGATGTCGATAGAGTATTCCATTTCTTTGTCGTGCGCATCAGAAAAGAGGAAGCAAAGCGCTTAGTGCGAATGGGTGGTATAACGACATAAGGATGGACTTAGCACCAGAATTCATTGCGTGGTGTCAAGTGGGGTCCAACCTTTGCGTAACCGCTTTATTCACGAATATTTAAATGTCGCAAAAGGGCATTATTGAGTTAAATAGCCTGCTTGTACTTTTTGTTTTCACTGAATCTATCACAAAATAATACATATAAGTTAAAATATTAAAACAGTTCAAGAATGTGAGTTAATGGCAAATATTGTTCCAGGCAAGTTCCAAGATATTCCATTCCGCATTAAAGAGTATTCAGGCAAAAGTGGAAGCTGTTGTCAATATCAAGTATGAAGATGATGACTGCATTGAAGTTGTAAATGGTCCTACAAAGTGAGTTCTTAAAATTACTAATTCCTATTGTATTTCTACTACGACAAGAGGAGTTTTTTCTTCTTACATAGTATTTATTTCCACTGTTGTATCTTAACAAATCTGCCTGACATTTCTTACGCCATGCCATTCTATGTATACATACATAAGTGTGACCTTATTCTCTACAGAATTGAAAAAGATGTGAAGAAAGAGAAAAAGGAAGCAGATGATAATGCTGACGTGAAAGAAGTTATTGAGATCGGCAGCGATGCATCAACCAAAACTGAAGTGAAAGAAGAAACCTCAGGTGAAGCTGTGGAAAAGGAAAATGATATAATTTCCTCAGAAAACATGGAGATCGACGATAAGGAATAGGAATTAACTATTAAGTAAAACTTTGTTACACGTGGAAGTATGCTTAATACATTAGCTAAACATTTTAATTGTTCAAATACAACAAGGACGGAAATCAGGATGTTTAATTATTCATTGAAAAAATAATGTTACTTCGGATATTGCTTGTGGTAGCATGATGCCGCATAACGGAATGACGTTACCTTACGGTATTACAATTTGAACAATTGAAATATTATATTTCCGCCTTACAAATGATGCAGCGAATAATACAAATTTCAGAAGCAATATCGATGTTTAGGCCAGGTATATATAAAGTAATGGTTATAATAAAGTTTGCGATATTTTCCATTACTGAATATCTTAGTATGTGATATCTGGTCAACATTATTTGTAAGTGGAACTAATAGAGGTGTACCTACATTTTTCGTGTATGTGTGGAACCGATAGAGGTGTACCTACATAATTCCATAGGGTGTAAGAGTTTCAGCATTTGAATGCAATAAAATGGATTCTAATGACAAATTAACTGTTTTATTTATTCATAATAATACATACATAAGAATTTCATATTTTAAAAGCGTACTAACCTACTAGATATTACAATTGGTTTAAAATACAATAATAAAGCTTAACTTGTACAATATTCTTAATAAACAGAAGATTAAAAATCTAAAAATAAATTTTAACTTCTTTTGTTTATAGTTTTGCTATAAACAAAAAACATACTTTTTTAGCTGGTATAACTAAATTATGTTAAACCCTAACGGAGTTTATAATAATCTACATATAAAACCTACTCCATGAGTACAATAAATTTTATTTAAAAAATTGTATTATGAACTTAAACTATTAGAATGGAATTACATAGTGTTCTAGATTATTATATAACAATACATTTTACACTTACGTAAATCAACATTGCTGAAAGCAACATACTTATAATTTCTGTCATTCATAATCAAATGCATATATTATTTAGTCTACAGTTTGCTTCTGTATGGTGGATAGTACAATAAAAGGCTCACGTTCGGTCTGAATTGATAATAAGCAGCGTAGATGCAGTTGTTAAAATTAATGTATTTATTTCATATCATCGTTTAATTTTTACTGTTTCGTCGCCAGCGGCAGAATGACCTCCTCGTGTTATATTTTTGCTGTCCAAGACCCTGCAGCAATTATGATTTCCCAAATGCGCTCTGGGTACTATTTCAGTTTACCCAAAGGTAGCTGTGCCACTGCTTTACCAACTGCGCGGGCCGTACATACAACTGAAATCAGCTTTTTTAAGGCCTACTTTATACGCAGGGTTCGACATAGTTTCCTGGGAATAGACCAGTGACTCCGTCCATAACACCTTCCCACCAGCCGTCATCGTTTTTCTTCAGCACATAAATCACTGAGCTCTCTTGGAAAGACAACTCGTCCTCTTTATCTGCATAGTAGTCGTAGATTGCAACCACTAAAAATCAGAAAGAAAATTTAACTATTTTATCTTATGTACTATAATTTACTTTATTTGTTATTAATATAATATTAGTAGCAGTAGAGCTCCTTGTGAAAGAATTCGTCCAGGGTAGTACCGCCATCTTACCTATTTCTGCCGCCAAGCAGTAATGTCAGCATTACTGTGTTCCGGTTTTGAAGGCTAAGGGTGCTGGTGAAATTAGAGGCACATGGGACTTGACAACTTATATCTCAGGGTGGCGGGCGCAGTGGCAGTGCCCCTCAGATCTTTGCAATTTAGAGCTCTGAGTGGCACTGTAAATGTTATGGCCAGGCGTGTAGCTTACCATCACGACGACGAAGCGCACGACATGTTCGTCCCGTCACTTGAAGTTATAAAAAAAATTCAAGAAATCCTTTTCAATGAAACTTAACTTGTATAAAATGTATTTATTCGTATTTATGCTGCAGATAATAATGTATAATGCGAAATACCTTTCTCGATGTAATTCTTGGGCACCCATCCGGGCAAGTCCTCTTCGTCAGGCACAATGGCTGGCACGGCGCTGGTGTACTGTGCGCCCATTTTGTTTTGTGAATAATCGGAGACGCTCTGCAACAAACATTCATTTATATTTTATTTGAAATGGCTATTTGTGGCTGCAAGATGTTAAATCAGTAGTAAGTTTTAACTTCAATGCATCATTTTCTTTATCATCTTTTTAAATTTCGTTGATATAAGTCTCTCATTAGACTATAATTAAAGTTTAAAAAATAAAACTCATTATTTTGCCGTGCAATGACCATTGAACTTAGTGTAGAACATGATACGAATTTAAACAATTCAGTTTTACCACGTAAATTGAACTATAGGAACCAGTCTGGTGCCTTATAAACTATTATGTAGGTATTTCTTCAGGTATTTTCTTTTTAAATTAATTTGAAAAATATTAATGCCAGGATTTACCTGTAGTTCTTATGTAAACTTAAACAAGTAAACTATTACAGATCTGAGTATTTCAATAAAAACTTAACTTACTCCAAGATGAGAACGTCCAAAAGCGTCATGTGCGAGCTCGTCTTCCATTGGCGGTGGCGGCAGTGGCGGAGACACTGACCCTCCGCGGGCGCTTGCAGACGAAGATGATACTCGCTGCCATACAATACAATAATAACGTGTCAGACAATCAATCAATTACTTGCTCTCAAACTAGGGAGTTGCCTGTACTATCAGTGCCAGAGCAACGGTACCCCAGAACCCTAACCAGAAATCCAAATCAAAAATTGCACCTGCTTACTCCACTAGCACTACGACAATTAATCGACGATCGTCGAAATAAAGCAGTTAAGTATTTATTGCTAACTTAGATCATATAAAACGGGAAACGCTATATATCATTATTTCTCAAATGAAACTTTCTGCAATTTTTTGAGGCGGAAGGGTAAGGGTACTACTACAAGCAAACCGGTGCGCTCAAATGCAACATCGAGTTGTGTCTCTATTGTCTCGCAAAAACAAAATTCGACAACACTAGCATACTTTTACAAATACACAGATAAAACACACATTCATATCCGTACACAGAATACGTCAATAAAAAATTATTCTAATGGATGATGCCTCTTATACTCAAAGATTGCCAATATTAAGTATGTCATTGGTAAAAATTACAAAGTAAAAGTAAAATTTTGCTCAATTGGAAGGGCAAGTTAGCAAACTTTGCTTCTTATTTAAATCTCTTAATTAATTTTGGTAAAACAATTTAGATATGTACATCTTTACTAAATGTTGGTACGCAAAGCACACGCGCAAACTTAATAGTTTCCCAGATATGGTATGGTTTCCCCTATGAGAAGTGAGAGCCACACATTTAGGCCTGTAACTTAATATTTATTTTACAAAAACCATGACGCTTTCTACAATTGTTTTACAATTACTATTAAGGGCACGTTCCCTTTATGTCGTGACGACAGATAGTCGTGCAGTTTAAAGTGTCGTGACTTGTACATTTAAATGAAATTATTCACACATAGAACAACATGATTGACTGTCGACTTTTTTCATGTTACGACGACAGATTGTCGTGACGATGGGAAGATCTAGAACAACAGTCGTCAGACGATAAGTAAAATCTCACGATAAAAATGTGACGACAGATAATCGCAGCTTCAAACGATTCTATCGTGCAAACGACAAGGTGGCTGCCGTGAACCGATAAACAGCTAAACACGACAGTCGTTCAAGGATAAAATAAACGTCGACGGTACAGTAACGACAGATAGTTGTGATATGAGAACAGGTTAGACACGACAGTCGTCCAATGATAAATAAAACGTTACGAAAAAATGGGTACGCGCCCTTAAACTTGGCCGAATTTGCAATTGCAGTGCCACTCAGTGCACACACACATAATAATTTTAGTTTTTTATTACTTGTGTTGTTTTTAGCTGCGTGTACCAATATACTATTATATACAGGTGTGAAAGGTTACATATCTAATTTATTAAACTGAATATTAACAAATAGTGCCGCACGCCCATTCGCCATTGGTCATGGGGTGTCTATTAAAGAGTATTACTCATTTAAATATGTCATAGTTCAGTCAACATAATTTAACATTGATTCTTCATTTCACTGATCGTGTCTCACCACTCGTTCATGAAGTCTGACAGGTGTCATTCTAATCCAGCACAATTTTACGGAATAAAGTAGTCTGTATAATCATGAGTATAAAATAACAATGTTAAATCTTTTTGTCCCAAATTAGCATACAGAACTTACTTGTCCAGGGAGACTCATAGAGTGCTGACTATGTTCACCATCAGATCCAATTAAAGGCGACGGTGGAGCTAAAATTTAAAACAAATTTATATTATATTAGTTTTTACGTCTATGGTAAATCTTTTTTATAATAATAATAATAACGCTCACAATCAACATAGCCCAGCACTAGGGAAACCCTGTGTCGCGGGTGCCATGGACACACACACATAGACAACCACAATTTTTCGTTTATAATGTTGTATCCCATATGTTCTCACAGGTATAGTAGAAAATGTTTGCAAACATTAGGTATACTCAAGTGCGGTGGAAACGAATTTAAGTATAATTTAAAGAAGAATCTTACGCGGCATGCTGGAATGCATATCCTGCTGAGAGTAGTTTGATGGCGATTGGTGTTGATTCGGATGTACCATGCCAACCTATGAAATTAAATAATAATAAAAATATTTAAATGCAAAAAATGCATTAAAAAAGTAAACAAATACGAATCAATGTTATTTATAAGTACAGACAAATGAATACTAGCCTGAACAAAAGCATTCAGTATTACGTTTGTTAATAATAATAATAATAACGCTCACAATCACCATTGTACATACGTTTGTTAATATTATTGAATAAAATAAAGATTCACCTGTGGCTGAGTGACAGGCAACGTAGAGTAGCCAGGAGGGCGACGCGGGTAGTTGGGTGCGTAGTGCGAAGGCACCTGTGGCGGTGCCACAGCCGGCGGCGTGCGGTACTCGCGAGATGACTTGCCTGGATGACAATGTGGGCATTTATAGCTAATTAGACACCATTTATAAGGTGATAAGGAATGTATTTACGATGGGAATCGTCAAATTCAGTCCAGTATAATAAAAATAATAGTCAGTTACCTAATAACCTAGCCAGGATTACATATGGACAACATACTTTTCCAAATTTGGTAAGAAGTTATTAGTAATATTGATTGTAATGAATATTGCGATGTTTTAATATCGTGATATTCATTTATTTTTTGTGTAGTTACTCCACTATTTTGTTACAAATTATTAATACAAAGATTGAACACAAAAAATCCTTTGATCTGCCTATGTCTTTGCCATACAAGGGCGACCGCTCTACCAAACCGGTCTACAGATCGAGTTAGCAGACCTTACGTATTTTTCTATGCATTTGTTACAGATCTTTAACGGATTTTTTGCCGATGAGATATAACAAATAATCATAATAATAAATAATTCATTCTGTACAAAAAATACAAGTACCAAGGTGACAAATAAGTACAAATTATGGGTTGTACATAAACTAACAAAAAATACATGTGGTCTCATCTCATCGGTTCAATCAGTTCTCAAATTAGGGCAACCCTGTACTTTGGGAGCTGGTGACGATCCTCTGCAAGTAAACTGTCTTACTTCTCACAGACATGATTTGGTATCCTTGATTTGAATGTAGGAACTCACCAAGAGTGCCTCGTCCTAATGTGCCAGTGTTAGCACCTGATGCTGCTCTCACTGCAGCAGGAGGGGTTGGAGGTTTGGTGGTAGGGGCAGGCAGTGGCGCCGCACTGGGGGCAGAACTCGAGCGCCGGCCGCGTGGAGTTCCGCATGCGCCACTGCTCCATCGAGCGCCATGTCCTATGTCATCTAGAGCTGAAACATATAAAATTGATTAATAATATTAAAGGTATCGAAGTCTGTTCAATATTTGAATTGAATTAACTTTATTTTAATATACAGGGCGTCACATAACTAAGCCACATGAAGAGAAAGTACCTTAAATACTGTAGACGGAAAATTTTACTCAAAGAAGATATCAATTTTCATGGTCTCTGGTCACCAAGTACCAAGTTCCTTTAATTTAAGATGCTATAAACAATTCTTATGATTAAGGCTTTTGATCAGTATAATAAAATTACAGGTTTTTTTCACATTTGCTGGGTACGATTCCCGGTTCAGACAGGCGATTATTTAAAAATCTTTAAATGGAGTTTGAATTATTTTTAAAATCAAAATGAAGTTTTCTTCATTTTTCCGTTCTTTCAACTCTATAATGAAAAGGACTACATTTTTATTATCTTGAATGCATTGAGCATGGTATTAATTAAAAATATATCCTTGTATATTGTAAATAATTCAGTTATGTTCAGAAAAGATATTAATATAAATTTTCTACTGCCAAGCAGTTATGTGAGCATTATCTGGTATGGAAGGGTAAGGGTGCTGGTGAAGTTACAGGCACATGGGACTTGTCAACTTATATCTCAGGGTGATGGGCGCAGTGGCAGTACCTCTAAGATCTTTCCGATTTAATGTTCTACTGGCATAGTAGGTTATGGATAGGAGAGTCACTTACTCACTAGGTGCACAACTTGTTCATCCCGTTACTTAGTAGTATATACAAAAAAAAAAACTTGTAGATTTTCATAGCAGAGCAAGAGGCAATATCTTTTGGGACATAGGCACAATATGCCTCTTAAGGAAAAACAGCCAGGCATTGTATTTGGCAATATCTTCGTCAAGCAGTCATTAGATCCATAATATTTAGCAGATATTTAGCTTCTTCAAAATATGTGTATATACTGTTGATGATGTTGATTAAAATATTGCATTATGCTTCAATTAAACATTGCAAGCAGATGCATATCACATTATATTGATTCTCTGATAATAGAAATTGATATGAGCAGTAACTAATTAAGACAACATTAATTTATACAGACACAAACACACTATTATTTCATTGTTTAGGAATAAAATTTGCCCATGTGATATTAATTTCTTGCAACAATTGTATATTGCATTAAACAATATTCCATTTTTTATTACAAGTACATAATATTACCTAAAATTTATAAATATTTCTTTAGTGCCTAGGCCTAGAACTATTTACAATTGCATAACATCAATATTCTTACATTAAACATTTCAAATTACTATATCAAATTGATTATAAGTGTACATACCTGTATAATCAATAGTCTTCCTCACATATTTGATTGGTTTCTCAGGATTAGCAGGGGCTATAATCTTATATTGTCTATTGGTCACTTTGTTAGCAGTCAATACTCCAATTTCCCTACGAGCCACCTTCTCCTTATGAATGGCCACTGTTTGGGCAATATGATTCATCTGTCCTTCCATTTCTGCAAGCTGCATGGTCTGTAGCTCTAATAAGCGAATAAAGTTGTATGCTAATGTGTTAATCTGATATGCTACACTAGCCAAAGACTGTGTGGTGTAGTTTTTAGTACTCTCTAGTGCTAGTCGTTTATTTTCAGACTGAAAGTAGTTGGCTTCACAGTATTCTGCAACACGTTCCAGGTTGGTGTGGCTGTCTGTGAGATGATTTCTCCCCTCTGGGATCTCTGTTTGCAACAAAGCAACAAATTCTGCCATCTTTGAGCTGTAATAAACAACAAATACTGTGGAAGAATTATGTTGATTTAGTGTTTAAGATTTCTGCCTGCATCCATTTCACGCAAAATGTTAGGCGACTTGCGGAAACCAGTCCCCTACACAGGATATGACCTAATTGTGACCAATAAGGGAAGGCACAATTAAGCCAGTAAAATATCATAATATATTAGATTTTGATTATTACATATTACATCTCTTGCTAATTTATTTTAAGGGCGTTATTTACCAACACTGCAGCGAGTAAGCTGCAAACTATTTAAGTAATCAAGTGTCGAATGTAAATTGAGTCTTAAGTTTACAATTATAATTTTTAGTACGGAACAATGACTACATACCGTCAAAATTTCTTGATGTGTACCCCTTGTGAATTGTGTATCAATAAAATTTATTAATTTCAAAATAAAAACCAGAAAACATTATCTGAAACCAACAAACTCTTGTTGAACAGAGAGTGAACAGGAAACGTCACACCCACCCGGCCAGCCCGGCCATTACAATAATTATTTTGAAAGCAACTAGCGACGTTAGTGTAAAACAAAGGAGACTAAGCTATCTGGGATTATCGAGATAAGAGTGATCAGCAGTCATTCGCACTTGCTTTACCACATCACACGCTCACATAGCAAATTAATAAAATAGGTCAAAGTCGTTGTGAGTAGGTGGTTTCGTTCAATGACAAAAGAAAGGCAAGGCACCTCCGTCCGCATCGTAGAGGTCTCCCTTTACGGTCCGTATCCGCCTTTCTTTTTTTTTATTATTAATGGCTTTATTTTGTGGTCCGCAAACACAACTAGTGTTGGGTCATGGGGAAAAAAATTCCATTTTTTTAACCATATTTTTCAGAAAATAAATATTTTTCCAACATATTTCTTTTATTTTACCATATTTGACGTTGACACCTGTCAAAAGTTGAAGTTACTGAATGAAAACGATGGAGGCAACAACAAGTGGTGATGGTGTGGTACATACATGCAGAGGTCTTTTTCGCTGTTGTTAAATAATTTTAAGGGTAGTGTTCTAGAACTACTCAATGCGCAAGTCAGGATTTGAGTGTGATTTCAAGCACCGGAAATACGACTCTAATGGCAAAGACTTGAGTGTGATTTCGAGTGCTTTAAACCATACTCAAGTCCTAACACGAGAATTGATTACAATTTAAAGCACTGAAAATCATACTCAAGTTTTTACCGTTAGGGTCGTATTTCTGGTGCTTGAAATCATACTCAAGTCCTGACTTGAGCATTGAGTAGAGTTCTGGAATACGACACTAAGAGTCGGTGGAATGCGACCCTAAATCTTGTTTACTTATGTAGCCATTATATGGCTTTTACCTATACAAGATTATTTTATAATTCACGCTAAATAAAACTTCGAAAGATATTTCAAAACGTAGAACATAATATGAGCATTCCAAATTATATTTTTCCAATTTTTAAAATTCAGGAACATTTCCGGATAAATTCCCACCATTTGAAATTTTTCGGAAAATAAACCCGACAGTACACAACGCCACACACAATCACAACGGCAAATGTGGCAACTGGCAATTACAAACCACTAGCTGGCAATACTGTGGAAAATTTGTTGTCTATGAATTCTAAAATGTCAAATTGATTTGGTATCTTTGGTGTTTTCTATTCTTGTGACTGTAATTTCTGTAAATTGTGCGACGAAACTGACTTGATTTTTGTATGGAAATGTAAAATTTATTTTCGTGTCCACACGCTTATCTGCGGCTTAACGATGGGAACTAATGGCAATGGCCGCCGCGGAGGGGCAAAACTGACCGATGTTCGTCGCCCTATGGAAGAAGGGGATTGCATTAACGATATGGAGAGTCCTGAACTGGACTTCGTTTACGATGATTGCGATACTCAGATTAACGAGATTGCAGAATTGTACAGCTACACAGAACATCCAGAATTTCAATTGAACGTGAAGGCATTCGAAGAAATTATGGAAGAGTTTAGTTACCCTCCAAGTTGGCAAAGATTGAGTAATACACAACAAAGAACAGTGATTATGAAATTATTGGAACATTTAGACGTGGCTGTAAGTGAGATCCGAATGCGTGCAACGCGATGTATACTATACTTGGCTCAGGGATGCTGGGCAGAAATACAGTCAGATACGGAACAGGCGCACTGGGCGCGCATCAATGTTATGACTCTTTACGACATGGGAACATTTTCAGCGTTTGTTGAATTATTAAACCTCGAAATTGTAAGAAGCAACAATGCAATAGCTTCTAGAAAACTTGCAGAGTCCCTTGCAGACTCTACCAATCTCAGGGTAATTTTGTCTGTCCTTTATTTGATCACTGAATACATGAGAACTGAAAAAGATAATCCTGACTCAGAATATGAACATTTAGTCAAAAATTTTAAGGAAGAGCTTGGAACACCATTTGGTGAAGAGTTATTACCTGTGAAACTACTTAGTATGGTAACACATCTCTGTGCAGGTACTACTCCACATTTCCCAATGAAAAAAGTATTGCTTCTACTGTGGAAGATTTTGTTGGTTTATTTGGGAGGCTCTAAAGAATTGAAAGAAAAGAAAGCAAAGCTTAGAGAGAAGTATGGTTTGCCACCACTGTCTGAAGATACAATTGAGATTATAAAGGGCATGAGAGCTAGCTCTCCTCCACCCAGTGCTGCTGACATGTTAGAAAATCAAAATCCAGGAAAAAGAAAGATTATAATGAATGACAATGAAAGGCAACTTCGAAGACAGACATTCATGAAGCAACCATCTCTTGATGAATCTGATGAGCAAATATTTGTTGATAAAGAAGAAACAGGCAATGGTTCTGAAGACTATTCTATGGAGTTTCAATCTATGCCAAGTGAAAACTCACAAAATGCAAATAGCAACCAAAACTGCCAATATTATATGTATTTTAAACAATTTGAGAGCCCACCCCCACCTCCTCCATTGCCAAGAAGCTTGCCATGGCAGTCCAAAGTGCGCCAGAAAGATATTGACATGTTCTTAGATAATGTAAGAATAAAATTTGTTGGCTATTCGCTTCCAGGAGATAGATCCACCATTGCTGGTCTTCCACAGCCAATTCATGAAGGCATTGAAATCTTAAAAAAGCACATGTACACTAGTCTGTCTGAGTTACAAGCAGAAAGAGAAATAGAAATAGCCCGCAGTCCTCTTACAAAAGGTGAACAAGAGGTTGAAGAAACAGAGGTTGAAATTCTTTACAAAGCCATGCTACCTAATCTACCTCAGTATATGATTGCTCTGTTGAAAATACTCCTAGCTGCTGCACCTACCTCTACTGCTAAGACGTACTCTATCAACATTATGGCAGATTTATTACCTGAAGAAATGCCCATGACAGTATTACAGTCACTGAAATTGGGTTTAGATGTGAACAGACACAAAGAAATAATTGTAAAAGCTGTAACAGCTATTCTGCTACTTCTTTTGAAGCATTTTAAACTAAATCATGTTTATCAGTTTGAATTTATGTCCCAACATCTTGTTTATGCAAATTGCATGCCTCTAGTACTGAAATTTTTTAATCAGAACATCCTCTCATATGTTGGTGCCAGAAGCACAATACCAATATTTGATTTTCCTGCATGTGTAATTGGGGAACAACCTGAGCTTACCAAGGAATGCTTGGATATAGGAGACTCAGTAGTTCCATACTCATGGAGGAATGTATTTTCCTGCATAAATTTATTGAGAATTTTGAATAAATTGACAAAGTGGAAAAATGCAAGAATAATGATGCTAGTCGTCTTTAAAAGCGCGCCAATATTGAAACGGACGCTAAAAGTGCGACATGCACTTATGCAATTTTATGTGCTCAAGTTGCTGAAAATGCAGACCAAGTATTTAGGTCGTCAGTGGAGAAAGACCAACATGAAGACTATAAGCGCCATCTATTCCAAGGTTAGACACAGGTTGAATGATGACTGGGCATTTGGTAATGATGTAGATGCAAGACCCTGGGACTTCCAAGATGAGGAGTGTGCCCTAAGAGTGAGTGTTGATCTATTCAACCACAGGCGATATGGTACGGGAGGGGAACAAGATAATGATCTGACACCTTTAGAAACTGATATAAATTGTATATTGGAAACCAATGTGGAGCTTGATGAGGAATTCAAAGAGAATTATGAGACATGGCTTGAACAGGAAGTATACAATAACGAAATCAACTGGGATGTACTGTTAAATGTATGAACTGATGTAATGTTTGTACATTTTACAAAACTAGATTTTGCAGAGGTTAACAAGTTACAATTCTGTAAAAAATTGTTTTTTTTATAATATAATGTCAGTTTAGCTATTTATTTGTTTATGCATTAAAACTTTGATTAACTCTGTTTTATGAATGACAACTTTAAGATTTATGTTCACAGAAAACATTTAGGATATATAGATGCAATGTGGATTGAGGTAATAAATCTCACGTTTTTAAATTCAATGTAATATTGATGCGATACAACTTCGTCAACAAAAATGAATTGTGAAATCATGTCGAAGATACGATTATTAGGTATATTTTATCTTTTTTGAACTAAAATGTTACTTTCAGTAGTAAGTAGCTGTTCTTTGTATACCAAAAACTTCAATGAATTGGTAAGATTTCAAGTTGTTTTAATTTGTATAACTCAAAATGTGTAACAAAGTCGAGTTTGCAGTAGACACATAAATAATATATCAAACATAATACTTTAGGAATCGTATATTAATAAAAACCTATAAAATTAGCAATGTGTGTCAGTTGTACCCATACATCATTATTTGTTGTCCACTGCGCCGCCGTCTCGGTCGCTTTATGTTTCACAACTGTAGCAACATTTAGTTATTGTTAAATTTACCGAAATGTAACTCCGTTTTTTTACGAAGATTGACCGCGTACATTTTTGTGAGCATACAGAACTTTGTTTATATAGATAGTACAATTGTTTGCACGGGGTGCCACTCCTAATGAAATTCGGCAGTCTCCTCCGCAAACTTTTGGTGAGGCGGATAGCTTAAGGCTCAACTCACACTGGCGCAGAGTCGAAGTGTCATGTTTTTCGCCTATAGCATATTTATCTCTATTTTCTTTATTAAGGTACAAATTTGTATTATGCAAATGTGGAGTCAAGCGTCGACGTGCAGTCGAGCGGTTTCGCGCGTCTCCTCGCGTCACTTGAGCACAGTGAGGCGTCAGACGCCGACCACACTGATCCGGGCGCACTAATGTCGAGGCGCGTCGCCTAGCGCCAAGTTGTAGTTGAAAGCCAGGACGCGACACAACGCGCCAGTGTGAGTTGAGCCTAACTGTATTCACAATGCCAGTCCTTCTCTCGATGTTAGGTACGTAGCCAGAACGCGTGCCTTATTCCAGCGTGACGAAGGTCTAGTTTTGTAATATTTGACTAGCCAGATAAAAAGTCGCTATTTAGTCGGTTCAAGTCGCAAAAAACTAGATTTAGTCGGTCCGCCGTCCAAAAGTTATAAGGGTATTTTTACAGTCCACCTTAGAATAAGCTTCCACTAAATAGCGACTTTTTATCTGGCTAGTCAAATTTCAAAAACTCGACCATGGTCACGCTGGAGTAAGCCATGCAGCCAGGACTTCTGCGGACAACTCTTCTTTTCCCACTAAATTTGCCTGTCATTTGCAAGTTATCAAAGCTCGTATTCATTGTGTCAGAGTATGTCCTAGATTAGAAACTTTCTTTTTGATGATTTGATCAATAAACCCCGAGTTCAACTTTCCACTGCAAGTTCATTTTGACATACAGTAAACAGAATAAATTTTTGGAAGGTATTTCTATATCATATTGTATGTGTTCTGTTTAATATCTCAGCAGGGGTTTTTTATTTAATGGACAATATGGTTTATTCTCACGTCAGCCGTCACGCGGATGACACCTGAACATTTGTAAACGTGCCCTACTACAATGGATCCTTTTACCGCCCCAGTAGGGCACTTAAGTGCCGCAGGGGGTGGAATGGAGCTACGGTGTAATCGTTTATTTAACCGCCTCTCTATTCTAAACTCTGTAATTTGAGCATAATCTGTAAAATGTTAGGTACATAGTAAATAAACTCAACAAAGAACATATCTTTGTTGAGTTTATTTACTATGTAAAGAATATATATTGGGACTGAAATTCATGAAATCTTAGTTTTTAAATCTCGCAAAGAGTATATTCAGATATTCCCGGATATTTTTATCAATAATTTCTCTGTCTAATCTGATTTCGGATTACAAGAGCGACTTCTCTACTCAATTCGATTCTATCCATTTAAACCTTCTTACCTTAAAGATTGCTTTACTTTCCACTCTGCCCTCCTCTTCGCTCCTCTGATACTCTCATACTAAACTTGTCCTCTCATACCACTAACTTTTATTCCAACTCTTACCATTTCTGCGATCAGATTGTGGAATTGTCTCTCTGAATCGATTCGACGATCCCCTTCTCTTGATTCCTTCAAACAACGTGTCAAGGATCACTTCCTCAACTCCTAACTTTTGTCTGTCCTCTACTATTCTTTCATTTATTTCTACATTTATACTTCATGTTTATTTTTCCTTTAAAAGTATATAAGCATTTAATATTATTGTGTATTTATTGTTATGTATGTATTAACATTATTATTATTTGTATGTATATGTATATCTATCTACATATATGTATATATTTTTATTTTTACTTATTATGTAGTGTACTTATGATGATATTCTTTAGTTGCACCCCTTTTGCATATCCAAAATGTCTATCCTAAGGTTGCCTGGAAGAAATTGCAACATAGCAATAAGGCCTCCTGTTGCATATTAACTTACTACTACTATTATACTTAAGCTATTGTATTGTATTTTAATTGTAATTTTATGTGCAATAAAGAATATTTCATTCATTCATTCATTCAAGAGCAAATAAAAACTAGTTTCAAAAATTCTAACACATGTTCTCACATGTTCACATCTTTTGAATATTATTTACTACATTATTTGTGGGCGAGTTCGAACTATATTGTGTAATTGTACCGGAATGCTATCTTACTATTTACATCAATGTTAGGTATCGCAATACCTTGAGATACTTACTTGTTTACAAATAAACATTTTTATATATAGTTTACTCCGAGATCTCCCCAATCCCCACATCATACAGGCTAACTTGGTGTATGGCGTAAACAAGGGAAGCTTTACAGTTGTCCAAAAGAGTGCCATAAATAGGGGAGATGGAGGCGATAATGCGTTTACGCAACTAGGCTTGTATAGTTCATGAACTAGGAACTTCCGACACTGACCGACATGAACTAGTTCGTCTTGCACGGTTTTGATGGTTCATCGTTCTTTTAAGTTCAGTACGAACTAGGGACTGTTTGCGCTGATAGTTCACCTGTTTTTTATTCAGTAGGAACGGTGCGAACGGGACAAATAGCGATCTTTAACTGCTTTTGGTACAAGTTCGAGTGGGATGCACGATTGAACTTTGCCAGCTCGTTCTAAATATCTAATACGTATCTACATTAGTATACATTGTAAGCTTGCAAAAATGTAAAAGCTCATATTTTTTGATAGGTGTGGTAGGTATATGTATGTATAATATCAACCTACGTGTACGAGTATATGAAATAATTGTACCTAAATATTTATTTTTAAACACACCATTCTAGCTAAAATTCTTGTAAATCTAAATTAAAAAAAACTAAATATTATATTTAGTACAGTGTACTATTGACCTCCATAATATTAGAAGTCCGTGGTAGTTCATGTGAATAAAATTACTAGTTTGGAGCGTTCGTTCAATGTCCGAGCAAGGACAAGAGAAACTAACGAACTAAGGCACTTGATGAACGAAGTTCATTTCGTTCATCAAGTGCCTTAGAAGACCGACCTAGTTCAGATGACCGATCGAACTAACTAGGATCGCTCCTTCTAAGACGGTTCTTATGTATGTTATCAGGCACAAGTCTGTTACGCAGTCAGTATGAATGAATATAGTAGGAATTATGTTTATTATTATGGCACCACCCAGCCCCACACCTGTCAGTGGCAACAGTCGTGTGCGCGCACCAAAAACTGAATGAAAGTTCGTGTTTAGTTTTTGCGCCGACAAATAGCTTGCAATCATTGAGAGGTTTTACGCATGAAAAATATTTGTTATTTTATACAGTGCCCATTGTTAGATTAGCTTAGATTTGAACAAATCAAAGGAGGCAGCTTAGATCACGCATAATGATACCGACTAGTTTAGAGGTTCTGATAGCTTCCTTTGCTAATATTTTTATAAGAAGACTTTGTTTGATTTTTTATTTTAGTTCTTTTTATGTCGCTTTGTCTGTGACTGTGATTTTATAGTTAATTAAGAAGAAATTAAGTTTTAATTTATTTTTTATACTGCAGTTAATAATATAAACTTGAATTGAGTTTCGGTTCCGTCGAAACTTTCTTTTTGTAATAGTCCTGTGACTATAGATTTAACTAAACAGACTGATGTGGTGCAAAAGTAATGTTATAATGTGAATTGGCTATCATTTTGTTAGAAATGAAAAAAAATTGCTCTAGTTTCGCGAAAAGTTTATTTGAAGATGTAAAATTGACGATATTAAGCTCAAAAAATTATATCGGTCAAACGGCCACCTCTCGAGTTGATGTAGATACATTTGTGCTCGTTTGACGGCATTTTGAATTGTTGCTCGCAAAACATGTGGCTCCAAATTGGCGATTTCTTCGTTAATATGCTTTCAAGACTTGCAAAGTTTGAGATTTGTTGTGGTAAACGTGAGATTTCAATAAGCCCCAAAGGAAGAAGTCTGGCGCCGTTAGATCTGGCGATCTGGACGGCCAGTTAAAAATTCCAAAACGGGAGATCGACCCGGAAATTGGTCTTTGTCAAAATTTCCATACAGCTACGTGAGCGGTTGCTCCGTCAGCAACTTGCGGAAAAAATACTCGCTTAATATCTGTCTATAACGCTCACCAGTTAGGGTTACATCTTCAAATAAACTTTTTGTGAAAACAGAGCTCATTTTTTCATTTCTAACAAAATGGCAGCCAATTTCATATTATGACATTACTTTTGGGTCACCTGGTATATTGTAAAAGATTTTTGATAACGAATTTAATAAAAATATTTTGCAATAAATACGTAATTTTCTTTTAAATTGATGAATTCATAGGTGCCCCAGACGGGTTTGAGAATATTGATTAAACATTGGTTTGAATTCCTTCACTAAAATGGAAATTATGACAGTATTATAAAGTTTTTGATCGTGCTGGGATTGATGACAATAGTAACTTTCCAATAACATCTAACTTGTATTTAAAATATTTTCGCTACTTTCGATCACCGCCACAGAATTCTATAAAACTTGAGCTACAGTTAGCTAAGCCACGCATTATAGTTTGTAATTTAGTATGAACCCTCTTAGATGCATTTTCCGCTCTACAATCCATGTAATTTTTGTGCGACTTGCTCACAAGATTACCTACACATAACACGTTCCACTATTGTCGGCGACACTTTTGAAAATGCTCTCTAAACTTTTTCTATTTTTAACTTCTAATATTTGCACTATTTTATGTTCAAATATATTCGAAAGTAAATTTAATGTGAACGATATTCTACGAACGGACTTAATGCCCTCTTATTTTATAGTGAGTGAGGACAATAAACAGAATATAAGTGATGTGGATGTTTCTAATGATACAACTCCGCCGGTGAATGGTTCTATTGATGCTGCTCTATCTATGTTGGATTTTCACAGGTAAGTAATTAATCAATTTACCGATCCATTGTTTAGGTAGTGGCTCCTTGGTATACTAGGTAGATTACATTTCTCGTCCTCGATTTGCTACGGTACCAGCTTAAGCTTCATAAAGTCTGATAGCCGTCCTTTTATGGTGTCATCTTTTCTAGTTTTACTCGTTTAAGTATACCCACCTAAGTAGATAGTCGTATACGTGGGGCGCACTGTAAGTTTCTGGAATGAATAAGAAAAAAATGCTATAAATGGTTAGAAATGAATTTATTGTTTCTCAAAATATTCTCCGTTAGCGTTAATGCACTTTTTCATACAAATGAACCAATTTCGAAAACATTTATGCCACTCCTCCGTGACAATCTCTGAAACATATTTTTCATACTCTTCAACAGCCTCTTCAAGTGACGAAAATCGTTGACCGCGTAACTGTTTCTTAATTTTTGGAAATAAATAAAAGTCACATGGTACCAGGTTGGCACAGTACGCGAAATGGTCCATATGGTCAACGTTGTTCACCTTCAAAAATCCATTTGTCTGGCCGTGAGAGAACTGGCATTATCGTGGTGCAAGATCATATTGCGTTTACGGTTATTTTAACGGAGTTTGTCAATAATTTCCGACAAACAAATGGTCGTGTACCAACCACTATTCACGGTACAGCGATTCTCCAAAGCAAAAGTAACCACGTGTCCAGTATTATTAAAAAAAGAAACAATTATCCGCTTAGAGGCACTTTGAAAGCGCGCCACTTTGGTTGGTTTCGGCTCATGTCGAAATACCCATGTGCTCGATTGTTGCTTTGTTTTGGGATCGTAACTATAAATCCATGTTTCGTCAACTGATACTATGTCCCACACCCCAATTTGACGCCCCTTCGTTGAATCTGGTAAGCATGGCATTGCACCAAATGACGCGATCCGTTTTTTGAGCCTCTGTCAGATTGTGTGGGATCCACCGAGAGCACAACTTTTTCACACCCAAATGTTTGTGTAGTATTGATTATATTTGACTCATGCCTATGCCTAGAGATGCCCAAATCTCATGGCATGTCACATGCTTGTCTGTTTTGATCATACGGCGCACAGCATCGATGTGTGTTTGTTGTTCACAGCAGTGGACGGGCGACCATCACGAAATTTGTCACTGAGATTCATACGACCGCGTTTGAATTCTGCAAACCAGCTATAAATAGTCTTCTGGCATAGTGCTTCATCGCCAAAATTAGTTTGAAGCTGAGCGAAGCTCCGCTGAGCTGTTATATTACACTTAAAGATGTAAAAAATCATACTACGAAGATTTTCACGAGTTAAATTCATGGTGATGTAGACAATTAATTTCTAAAATGGCGCCACAATGTAAAAACAAGTGATAGACAGATGAAACAAACTGTATTCTACAGCCAAAAAGTTCCATTTTCAAATGTTCTAATTACTTTTTGAATATTGTTTACGTAAGTGGCCAGTTCCAGAAACTTATAGTGCGCCCTATGTAATGACCAACATGGCAGCTTTCTTAAGTTAGTACATTTTTACTCAACTACGATAAAACCGAAAGAAAAAAATCTAAATGTATGTTATTAGAAACCATAGTATCTTTTATTTTGAAATGAAATGAAATGACAGATTTTTTTCAAATAACAGATTAATTGAAATAAGCGTCTAACAGTACTATTTTTACTTGTTACCGTACAAAATACATTAACAGGCAAAAATATTAAATATGAAAAAATAAAACAATAATAAAAATTAACTGCACCCCTATGTTAATATAAAAACGAGGCGTAGATATTGTGTTATGTCAGAGGGGAACAAGGAGAGAAATGTAGCGTTTGGCCCTCGTTCTCGACATAACACCATATCTACACTTAATTTAAAGGTTTCTATGTTTACTTTACAAGTCAGATCTTTTCTTCTGTTTATTATTTATTTAATCTTTGTTGAACAATACAAGATACTTAGGTCGAATGGCGGACTTGTTATTATAAGGCATTCTGTGTGTAGCGGACTGTAGCAATGGGTTAAAGGGTGGGTGCTAACAACAAGTGAGCAAGGTCAAAGCAAATGTGCTTACAGCTTTTAATAATTTATTGGAAAACACGTAGCTATCCAAGCAAAATAGCAAAACAAAGTCAAGAAAAGACGCCAAAAACAATCACATTTAAATTTAGAATTTAAATATAAGAGCTTACAAAGACTATATTATAAAATATATACAAAGAGATTTGTGGCGATTCGCTGCACTATGCTAATTGACATAAGGCCAAACACAAAAATAAACAATACTTCGGTGCTAAACATAAAATAAATTAAAACATATTATATTCCACACAAATAACAAAAAACACTAAATCTAAACTGGACAGTTGATTTATATGGCATAAAATCTATACACTTACAATACATATAATAAAACAGCTGAATCTAATACTGATTTTATTTTAGTGCTACCACACGCCAATAAGTCTGAAAACAACAGTTTTTAGCAGTTTTGTCTATTTGTCTGCGCATTCGTGCACGCTAATCTCTACTAATGGCCGAACCAATTTGGATGTGGTTCTCACTGATTTATAGGGTTAACATTTAGTGCCTATTTCATTTAAATCAGTTGACAAATATAAAAGTCAAATAATCTTTATTTCATAGATAAGCCAATTACACTTGAAATCGTCATACTGATTAAACTCTACTGCTCATTCGTATGGTAGATTCCATTAAGAAGAATGAGCAAGAAATTCTAGGGGTTGCTCTTTGTAAACATACATTTGAATACATTTATCATTACAATGTTTAATTTAAACATCTTACTACCACGGATTTTTGTCATCCGAGTACACAGAAGCCGTATAATAACTTTAGTATAAAGTTTTTGTTTCACTGTAGGTTTAAACCTCGTAAATGGCAAATTTTGAATATCAATCGGAATCTTATTACAGAAGCGTATAGATTGCCATTGCCCATTAAGTATACATTAAAAGATAATGTGAATTTTAAAGTGCGTGTCCAAAGCGCTTGATGTGGCACGAGCGAAGCTGGAACGAGTGCGTGCACTCAACCTGTTCGTAGGATACGGATAGTACAATAAAATCACAGGCACATCTAGTATAATAAACATACCTACTGGTATATTATAATAATAAGTGCGTAAATACTCACTGCAACATTTAGGTATGTAATCTTTATCTTCACGATTGTCAAAGAAAGTCTTGCGCTACATGCGCTTGAAATATTATCTGAGCTTGTTAAAGATAATGAGCAAGAGTTTGTTCCAAAGACGATTTTTTTTAATAATAAGTGAACTAAGTGACGAGACCACCAATACGTGCGCCTGGTGGTAAGTGACACGCCTATCCACAATTGCAGTGCCACTCAGAGCTTTAAATAGCAAAGATCTTAGAGGCACTTGCGTCCGTCACTTTGAGACTTGACAAATCTCATGTGCTTGAAGTGTGTGCACGCAGTAACGCTAACATTACTGCTTGGCGGCAGAAATAGGTAAGGTGGCAGTACCTACTCCCCAGGACGAACTCTTTCACAAGGAGCTCTACTGCTACTAAAAGTACAGAATTACCTGTAGGTAGGGCAAAATAATTAGATGGTAATCATTATTTTGCAATTTTTTTTTATACCAAGTGACGGAACGGACAACACTAACTTAATGGCAGCCGATTAATCCCTTAAACTCGGGCACGCCTTTGGTTTCTGCACTTTTCTTTTTCAAATCTCTAACCGACTAAACAACAATTGTTTACCATTCAAATTTATTTAAATTATTTAAATAGAACAGTCTTCATTCAATTGCCTCATTTCTTTAAAGGAAAATGATGAACGAATACCAGTGTCGCAATTTCCTGGCTGAACAAATCTTGGAGGAGATGGGTAAAAATGTCATCCAGGGCCGGATCGGTAAACCATACGAACCCAGTAATATGAGACAGAAGTTGACAAGGCGTTCACAAGACGTGAGGAGCAACTTTATGTACGACGTTGGATCGACTAATTATCAAGAATGGTTGGCGAAGTAAGATTGCTATAAAAATCAAATTATCTTTTCTACACAAATATTATTTTAAATATTATTTTCTGCGAATTTTGAAGTTTCTTAGAAAATTACGAGCGTTTGAAGCGATTTAAACGCACGTAAGAGGCAATGCAAATGAGTCAGCCCGTGACCATGGAGCGTGCAACCGTTCCGAAATATCGGGAAAATAAAAAGAAGTCATCACGTGGTAAGAAACCTGATATTAGTGATAATCATTTAATGCAAATGAGATTCGAACGCGCTTTTCGCGCACGTTTGTATACATGTAGGCGAGCGCGGCGCCGTAATCGCATGATCGTGAAATGCGCGTCGTTTGTGTGTAAAATACGCCGTGCATGTAAAATGCACACACTCTAACTCTGAGGTACTATAATTAACATAATTTGTAGATATTAATAAAATGTCACTTATGTTATTACTTAGGTGCAATGTTTACGATGCTTGCTATTCTACTTATAAAATAATGATGGCGGCCTTTTGAGATAGCACCTACAAGTTTTCGTTGATCTATGTCGAATCACTTGCACCTAAGTATATGTTCCATTTAAATCTAAAACAAAACTATAACAAACATATTACAGAGCTGCAGCCCTCAATGAAGTATACCAGCAATACAATGCAGTTACTGCGAACTCTACCGCGCCTACCCCTACAGACTCAAGTTACTCTACTCAAACATTTCCTGCCCAAAATATACCCTCACAGACGTTTCCTAACCAGAATTTGCCCGCACAGAATACTTATCAACCAGGATATTCTACCCCGTACCCCGTACAGAGCGTTGTCCCGTCAATCAATAACAGAGAGGGTTACGAAGTGTATGAGGCTGGACAGGTCTCAGGGTATGCTGAACAAGAACCAGGATACCATGACGTTTCTAAATACAGTGAGTAGATACTTTATACCGCCTATTGAACGTATAGATTTGTCCGATTTTAGACAATTATTATTGTCGCTAGATATATGTTTTGGCGATCGATGAGATCTGTCAGCGAACAGATTTGGTCGATATATGCTTGAGATATATACTTACGCTATAGTATAGTATGTGTTGTCATTCTAATTTCCATTAATTCCATATAACCATACCATCGAATTATTTCCCTTTCATATTATATTAGCCTTGTCGTTCATCGTCATTCACACCAAAACACTCACTTCTTACACTGTCTCTTATTCTGTAAGTATCTAAAGCGTACACCACATGTACTGCGCAACGCTCTCATTGCCACACTACCCTAATTGCATGCTTTTTCTACCGTACCAACATTTACTACCGTATATCAGGTTTGTGCCAGCACGCCCTGACGAACAGCTAGACGTTCTGGGTAGGTACCCATGAAAATTATCACCTCCTTTAAATTACTGATTCACTTGTTAATTCCATGTGTATTCATACTTTCTCAAACAGATATCTCATAAAGAGTGATTTTTCAGGAGAAGGCAAAACTTTCTATTTATTTTAAATTTCCTAGCAAGGGTGTTAATTTGGACGCATTACTTTTGAGAATAGGTAAAAGCCAGTGTGTGAATATTAAGGAAATGTGATGTGAAATCAGTCTGCAAAATATGTATGTACAATCCATTTATTACATTAAAGTTTTCGGTTTTCTCTCTACGATCTTCACACTCAGAATCCTTTGTCTATAGACGCAAATTCTGTTATTTTTAGAGGCAAATTCTGTCACTTGTTGTATTTGTGATATTTTTGTGCCATTACACTGCAGGACACATATTTTTCATAACAATGTCAATGTCATAACTAACGCATTTACATTTCGGTAACTTTCGATATATTGGCACTTGTATCTTCCGTGATTAGCACCACAGACATTGGCACTACTACATTATTGTCACCCTTCTAAATGTCAATTACGCTGATTTTGCTTAACAATATAACTGAAATTAAAGAAGTTTTAAAAACACGATTAGAGGGGTTTATAAATCTCCTTTTACTAATCCCATAGGTTAATAACTCAATTTCAAAAATTTCAATTTGATGAGTTAGGATAACGAGGGCAGCATAGTTCGAGCTCCTGTGCACTGGTATACTAAATGTCATTTTATATGTTGTGTTGTTGTGTGTGTCATTGTTGAAAATTTGAATTTGTAAAACCTTCTTAATAACAATAATAATATCTTTACTTTTTCCACAAAGTTGTTCATTATATACACAAATTATTTTAATATGTAGTATAGGTAACAAATCTTTGTAGAGGCTGATGCCTGATCTAGGTTGATCCTGTATTTCAGATCGCCTTTCCTTTGTAAGAAATAAGTGAACATTAAGTAAAGGCAATAAATGAATCATGCTCAGAAAAATTTGAAAACAAATGACGTAAGTGACTAATAATAATTACTCACTCGGCTTTAGGTGGTTTTCCTTCGGCGAGGCGAGACGATAATATTTGTAAGGCAAAATTGAAATTTTCTCCTAGCGCATCTTCGGTGGAAATGGTCTGGATTGACGAGGATGGGCCAGGAGAGAACTGAAATATTTGTTGATGTAATATTGAACCGTATTGCTGCCTATTTAAAGTATTATACTCTGCAACGGAAAACCGATTTCTCGTGCGAGTTCGCGAATGCCCGCACGATCTCGCGGAACCCGCCTTTTTTAAAGGCAATAAATATATTGTACATATATACGTAGAGGGTGTATTTACGCTATGTCCTACTCAACATTTTATACAACATAAAAAAAATTACCAAAACTTAAAAGAACATTTTTATTATTACGATTTTCATGTAAACGCTGAAACATAGTCGAAATGACCCGTTTTCAACTTGAAACCGTGTACATGCGGTATAATTATGACATCAGAGTCAAAAATTTTACAACCACCGTGTAAAGCAGTGGTACACAGTGAAACTCCCATAAAACTCGTAGAGTTGCAATAATTTACACTGGCTGAAAGTAACAAAAGTCTTGTTGTAATATTGGCTTCTTCCACTGAGAAAAGTTTATCGGATTGTTGCGATTTAACAATTTAATTAGTGTGAAATTATAATTTTGAATTTGCCTTTTATCGACTAACGCCCAAACAGAAAAATACTACCAACTATAGAAAAGTCTAACCAGAAAAATGTTCAACTGTAGAAATGTCCGAGCAAAAAAACTCCAGCTATGAAAACCCTCGCGTCAGGAAAATATAGATTGATGGGAGGACATGTCATGATACATGGATGTACTATACAAAGAACATTGAGGATGTTGATAGAAGAACTGATAAATGAATTGACACTACGGTACACTCACTCCTCAATGTAGTGTATCTATGTTTACGTGTCGATAACCATATTTACGACAACGAGATGAATAGTGTTTAATGTTTTTTTGTTATTTTATATTCTATTTACGCAAATTGTTATTATTATATTATATTCAGCCGATCTTATCTTTGAAATTGTCTTACGACATAGTTTTTTTTTTAAATATTAGTCGAGAAAAAGGAACCTATGGCCGTGAACTGTTAATAGGTTGATACATAGATTAATGGTTAAATTTAACTAATGTGATGAACTGACGAGTAAATTACTTACCAGCTTAACATTGCAGGCGGAGGCTACGAATACCACATGCCCCCACCCCCACCGCCAATCTACCATCCACCATCGGCGCACGGACATGAGATATCAGCACATGCTCACGACGTGGAATATGTTGAGGAGCGTGACAGTCACCACCTCGGTCTTTCTGATCTTTTTGACATCTCCTTGACAGGCATAGCATTCCTTTCATTTGGCATGTTCGTGCTACAAGTGCTTATGTGTATTACAATGGTAAGCATTAGTTTATAAAAAATCTGTTGCAATCAGATACTCTATTTAGACTTTAAGACTAAGGTATCCCTATAATTAGAGTAAACGCCATACTTATGCCATACGACGACATCATCCAGCGCTAAAACCTTTCTTATATCGCAGCAAAATCTACGCCGTCTTAACGCATCGAGAGTCACTTTTCTAATTGTACTCTTTTTTTTTTTACAATGCATAACAAAATGCTATCGTATGGAATTGCCCTAACACAAGGTTCTTGGGAGCAGCTAGGGCTTTCATCCTGGGAATTTCGGTCTCGAAAATTTCGCGTGTCTCGACAATATTCTGGCTTTTTTGAGACTCAAGACTGACGATTCAGTTTCGGGATTATCGAGAATTTTGAGTTTGAAGACTTATAATTAATGGCTATTAAAACTGTAGTAAATGCACTACAGTATATACTACTATAATACTTCTATAGTATACTGTAGAGTCGAGCTTAGATAATACATGGAGATTGAAGAACAGTTGTAGTAAAATCAGTATCTGTCATTTTAAACGGCCTTTCCTTCTTACGTAATAACTATGAAACTAAAAAAATACTTTCATAAATATTTCTTTTATTTTATATTTTCAATTAATAAAGAACTTAAGTATAATATCATGTTTTAACTGCCTAAATGCCTAGCCTATAAGTATGAAAACCTATGTTTGAAGTAGTCTCGTAAGTCTCGTTTTTCCCGGGATTTTCAACACACTGAGTCTCGATATTTTTTTACTCGAGTCGCGGAAACGCAGTGAGAAAGAAAGCCTAAGAGTAGACCCTCAATCAGTTGGAATTTGAGTGCATGTTCGTAATTTATATTCAAATTATTTACACAAAATAGGTTTTTTTCTATCAATTTTGATCATCAGATGCATTTAGAAATTCCTTCGCTGTATAGCGTTTTTTTGAGTAAATGTTGTTATTACTAAATACATATAATTAATTAAGATATATCATTATAAGTAATTATTGTAATATCACGACGTTAAGTAGGTTAGAAGTCGTGGTAACCTTATTAAGAAAATAAACATTATTTCACAAGTAATAAATTATAGCTCAAGAAATATGAATTTAATTGACTTAAAACAATACTTACCTACGTAAAATACAAAATGCACTATGCTAAATAAATGTGATAATGAATATAATCAATATTGTAAAGGTGAATACAAAAAGGTACCTAAATTGTAATGGTGACGTTATTTTATTAATTAACATACATTAATTATACTTCACACAGGAACATTTTGAAGTTGAAAACACTTTTAATTAAAATTAATATTTTTATACAAAGCTTCTTTTACAGCATTGCGCGCGCGACTGTGAGCGCAATCGCGCGGTCTTTCCCTTTTCTGTATCACGCGCGATAGAGTGTCTATGTAAAGCCCACTAATGCCTTAAGCCTTTGTATCTTGAGGCCTTTCCCGTGACCTTTGCCATTATTTTTAGACTCAACAACCAACTCAAGTTATGCAAATGGTTGACAATGGCGACGATACCGTGAACATGGAAGACGTATTTCGAATCAAAAGACAAACCGACAAACAAACAGACTATGGAACTGGTCGGATATTAGATAAGATACCGAATGGTGCAATGGAATATAAAAGCGTCGATTGGGCCAATTATGGCCAAAGAAAACATAAAATAGAGCATGATGCAAGAACGGATGGAATGGAAATATCACGTGCCCGATTATTGGCAAAGAAAAATTCTCTCACCGCGACTAACACTTTAGCTCGCTACGCTTTGATGGCTCTGAAACCTCGATCAACCACATGTCTGTACAGAGCCTTATGTTTGGGTAACAAACGTATCAGATATATGCACGATAGCAGCAGATATTGGCTACCAGTTTGGCAGTAAGTTAAAACTATAATAATATTATTTTAAAACTAGTTGGTAACTTGATTTGTAGGCACCGTAACTTTCAACAGACTGTTTATTCTTGTAAAATTACCAGTCTTAGTCAGTAAGACGTTACTTATTCTTATGAATAACTTATTATTTAGATACTATCCAAAGAACATGTAACGTTTTGCTTTGTATCATTAGCACTTTTTGCAAAAAGAACAGCGAATAATTGTGTACTTATATGGAATTGCGAAAATGATGTAAGATTTTATTGTATTTATTCGTAGTGCCGGTGTAGCATGGACGCGCGGCGGCGCCCTAGGTGCGGTACGTGCCGCGGCCCTCGGCCTGGGCGGGGCCGATTGCGACACACACTACCCACCCGCCCACTGCCAGTCACCAGTTTAGTGAACGATCTCCATCAATTACATGACTAGGAGAGGAGAGAATCCAATACTTTCACTATACTCATTTAACTGCCGAATAATCGATATTTTTTTATATTTCATAAGAAAATTATAAAGTAACATTAGAATAAAAAATAATAATACTTACATTTTTCTAAATATTTATTTAATACTCTCGTTTTGGTTTTTACATAAAGTTTTACGAAATCATGTTTTCAAAGTAGACTTCGACTATATAATGAAATTTTTGTGTGATAATAATTGTAACATTTTTTAATTAACAAATAAAATTCATAAACAAACAAATAAGTATGTCAAATATCTATGACTCGGCTACAGATGAGTGCAGAGTCATCGTTAATATTCTGCTGAAGAATAAAAACGAAATAAGTTTCTTTGTATGCTAATACAAAAAACAATTGGAAATTAAAAGATCTTTTTTTTATGTTAGTGAAATAAAACAATTTAGTTGCTTATAAACAACTTTATTGCACTTTGTTTACATTATTACATATTGGATATGACATATTTTGAGCCTGCGATATACTTCAACGTAATTATTTACACTTACTATGTACATACATACAAAGATTAACCATACCTACCGGTACTGTGGTTTAATTATTTTAACTATTCATACAGAATACATTATAATTACAGAAACATTAACAAATGCTATTTATGAATTTGAAAATGGTGTCTTTAATTTACACGTGACTACAAACCACGTATTTTTTAAAGTTTTGTATGTTATAAGAGTTTCTTTCAAAATTTATATGTCTATATGTTGTATTAATAAAATAAAATATATTCAATGTAACGATCTGCTAATTTCGACATAGATTTTTAGTAGCAGTAGAGCTGCTTGTGAACGAGTCGTCCAGGGAAGTACTACCATCTTATCTGTTTCTGCTACCTAGCCGTAATATGAGTATTACTGCGTTCCGGTTATGAAGTTTTCTTCAGAAAAGTTGCTGGTGAAATTACAGGCACATGAGACTTATCAACTTATGTCTCAAAGTGACAGGCGCAGTGCCCCGTACATCTTTGCGATTTAAAGCTCTGAGTGGCGGCACTGTAACTATTATGGACAGGCGTGTAGCTTACCCTCAGGCGCACGACTTGTTCGTCTCTTGATATTATACAAAAAAAAAGATTTTATATATTTTTTTATTTTACTTATTTACTCCTGTATCTTTACTGCTCTATGGAACTTACCGAGATTTTTACGATATTTTGATTTAGGCGCGGGGCTCATTGGCGGAGAGGCATTGCAAGGGATCCAGGTTCGGCATCCCTACTGCTAGCGCACACTGACGGCAATTATGCTACGGTATCCTTAGACGCGCTGAAGCATATTGTCGCAACATCGTGCTCGCCCCTAGTCTCTCTTCAGATAAGTCGTAACAATGCAAACTGGGCCCCAATTCTGAAATTTTCTAATAACCACTGGTCATTGAGACTCCACTGAGATTGTGGAGTAAAAAAAATTGTATTGCAATTGCAATACAATTTTTTTAACTAGACTTTTTTTGAAAGTACTCGACATTTTTTAAAACTTTTTTTGCAACTGGTTTATAATAATAATAATAATAATTTTATTCTACTAAAATCTAGTTGCAATTGTAATTGAGTCTCAATAGATTGTCAGTGGAATGGCAGTGATGGCATTCATTAATTTCGTCACTAAATGATCAATGTTGCCTGACTAAACCTGACACGGAATTTACCATGCATATCTTAATTTTAATCTTATTTAATCAGCAATTTAGTCGACGAATAAATATGTATAATATTAAGTAGTAATAATATAATAATAAGTAAACATATATAATACTACTTCTTACTTATTTGATTCATTCTTAGTAAGTTAACGAGTTACAATTAGAATGAGCAAACATGTGATGTCAAAAGTAGCAAGTTAAGAATAATTATGTACATTTCGCACTGCAATTAAAATGGTTAGCACTTAATAAGTTATTTAAATGGGACACACATATAAGGTTGAGTGATGAAATCATTGAATATGAAATATTCTAGTATGTACTACACTACTGCTTCATAGACTTGGGTGTAATTTTCACCTAGTAATTTTTATTTTATTTGATTGAGACTAATACAATGTTATTATTTTGTGCAGTTTGACTACGAAACGTCAATTAACTTTTACTTGTATCAAAATTAGTTCAAATATTTATTTGGCAGTATTGGCGATTTCTTTTCGTCGCTTAACTTCGAGAATAGAAACCTGTTATTGCAACGAGACGCCACAACACATAAATACACAGAAAGAAAGGACAAAAAAAGAAAAAATAACACAACAAAACAATAAAGCAAGCACATAAAATTTTAAATAGACAACACAATTTGATTTGATGAATTTGCATGTGTACGGCTATGGCTTATGCAAAAGGATCCACTCAGCTAATGACCACACAACTAATCAGTGGACATCAGATGACTTTGTGACCAAGCATTCTTTTATTTTACATGAATATAACTTCTATGTGCATTTGAATTAAGTGTTATCGCCTCACATTAAAAATCGTATATTATTTGTGATTTAATGAAAATCCTTCCACATCCTCTCGATCGAGCTTCTGCAATAAATAGTGTCGTATCAAAAGCTTATCTCCGTTCCGATTAACTAGACCGATCAACTAGTTGTACCGAAAGGGATTCGATGAAGTTATTCCTTAGGTTTTGAAAGATTTGACAATTTGAGGAATTGAAACTATTTTCGGATCTAAATTGCACATATTTGTTTTTTCAAACAAGCCAAAACGTTGCGGCCCCTTTACAGGTCACAGCTGACAATCATCGATCTTGATCCGAAAAAATAGTTTCATTTCCAAGGCATTTCTTCTAATCGAACCAATTTATTGTGCAGGTGTTTTGATAATTTCTAAAACCTTTGTTTACTTTGTATGTTTAATGTAATATGGCTAACTTTTTTCGACTTTTTTCTGTTGTTATGGTCAAAAATAATATCACATTTGTTGTTTTACTTAAACATTTAATTTCAAAATTTTGCATTATTACTTTATTTCTATTAACTATTTTTGTCTGTCTATTTGATTCTACATTATTTTTACGTCTCGAGAAATGGCCGTTGCTTCTATAAATTACAAATTTCCTAAGATTTTTTTTGTTTACATTTTTATATCATTTACAAGTTCATTGTACATATTGTACACCTTATGGTTTTTGTTACAAAATTATTATATTAATTAGAATTTTCTAAACAGGCTATTTTTAAGCGCGACTAGTATTTAAGGAGGCGAAGAAGGTAAAGTAACAGGAACGGGTGTAAAAACGCAACTAAGCGGCGCGTACGCATAAGGATTCAACAGGGAAAACGCTTGTGGAGAATGCCCAAATATTTGCCCCGGGAACAAACCCTGTCGTTGCGCTATCTTCAATCGGGACGTCAATTGTTTCTTCCATTTTGTTCTTCTATTCTGAAACCAGGTTTTTATTTGCACTTCAGTTAGACCTAGAGCTTTAGAGAGCTCCATTCTCTTAGAGACGCTGAGGTATTTGTCAACTTTGAACTCTGCTTCTAATCTTTCAAGTTGTTTCGCGCTATATGCTTGTCGTGGTTTCCTTTCCGGCCCCGCTCGCCGTGGCCGTCTGTTCTTTTCATCTGTTAAAAATATAATAGTAACTTAATCTCAGATTAACGAAAATGTTGTAATTAAGCACAGGGAATTTAATAATATCCGACTACATTACGTAGGTGTTTATACAGATATATCATCAGAAAAACATTAAATCTAAGTTGGTAATAATTTAAATATCGCCCAATGAAAAACAAACATACGTATGAGATTGCTAAATATGCCACCTAGTTCCAAAGCGTCTTCTTCTAACAATTTGTTTCTTTTTCTTACACTAACACTACTAATCGGAATTGTCGCAGGCTGTCGTTAAGTGGCTATAAACACAATCAGGGTATTTACAATGCGCGGGCGCAGGCACGTCGGTCAATAGATCAACATTGTAGACAAACTCCTTTAGGCTGGTGAATGTGTAATCGCCGCGTTAACTTGAGGTTAACTGTTTGTTAAAGCGATTTATAGTTTACATGACAGCTTTTTATTGGTACGATGAGTTACAGCGAGATGTATACAATTTGTCAGAATTTTTCATGGAAAATTCATCTTGGCCGTTAATATAATTGTAAAATAGTTGTTTATAAACGTGTCTCTGGTCTTCTTTTATTGATTTATCACCATAAATTATTTCACATACCAACGCTTTAATACATAATATGGCATTGTGTTGACAACGGTTATATTTTCATAGAAAAGTCTTGTACAGTCTTTCCCTGCGCAATGTAGACATTAATAAAATTTAACCCTCCAATTCTTTTTTGCTCATCTTTTTTTGTTAGGTGGTTTCAATGAATTTGGGGACGTATAGACAATTTCTTGTCGTGTCAAGAAAAGTTTGATTTTAACAATTTTTATAACATTCAACTAAAGTTCTAACAAATAGAAAATTTCTTGGTATGTTCGTTCCACAGAACCTTGTTTCTGGATACAGTTGGACGTCGACAGTGTCGCGTTAAGGCGGAGCGCAAACACACGCATTGTGGCAATTGTCGACCCAGCAGCTGTTTACCGACACCTCGGTGCGAAGTCGCGACCACCGACCATACGGCCTACAGAAGATGTACTCAGATAAAAAATATAAACCCAGTGCCGTATATTTTAGTCAAGGTAGAATTATATCGAGTTCTTAGGTTTTCGCGATTGTTACTTACAGGAAATTAATCTATTTTTCCAATCTAAATCGCGTATATTTGCTTTTTCAAATTTTTCAGGTTTGTTCAAAAACCACGCCATTTAGATCTAGAAAATAGTTTTACTTCCTAAGGTAGAGTTATATCACACAATTTTTGATTATGTTGAGTTCACAACACTTTTCATGGAATATAAAATTTTAATATCAATATAATTCTGTTACCAGTTCGAAAAAGTATTGTAAAATGTGAAG